GGGGGTTTGTCGGGCGCAAGTATGAAGATGGTTGGGTTTTTCTCTCTTCTGCTATTTGGACCCGCTCAGGAACCAAGCCATATCGGCTATTGCCAAATATGACTGGACAATTTAATTTTTTATTAGAGAACGTTTATGCGAATTCCTTTGAAAATTTAGAGGAATTTCCTTCGCACCGGGTAGCAAATTCTCTAAAACTTGCACAAAAATCTGCAGAAGTGTTTTCGAGTAAAATATTAAGCTGTCCGATTGAAGGCAAATAGCTGATGTGGTTTGGTTCCTTTCTGTTCAACGTGGTCCATTTACTGTTCAAATTATAAAAGCAAAATGATCTTTTGCTCCCCCTTTTAAAGTAATCTCTTGGGATGTAGGTAAACACAAATGTTTGCTAAGCCTCCGACGCGTAGTAGGAGGAAAAATCTCCTACAGCTTTTAAGAGATAATTTTTATTGTACGCGTATACATCCAAAAGGCACATTCGAGCTCACATTCTCTTACGCTAAAGATAAAAATATTAAAAGAGCAATTTTAATGACAAAAATTGTTAATAAAAACTATTCCAGTTTCGACTCATCCATTTCCTACCCATACAAATTTATTTTATTTGTCAGCTGACGAGGCAATTTTCAGGTTATGTTTACATTTTTTTTTTTCATTTTTTTCAAAATTTTAATTTAAATCTAGCAAGAATGATTATTTTCCATGAATTACTAAATTCCAATTTAAACTCATGATCTGAGTATGACCAGGAAAGATGATCTGGTGGCGGAAAGAAGAAATATTTTTGAATTAGCCGGTGACTTAAAACTGCAGTAGTTCCAGCCGAAGTTCGAACGAATAAAACGGATGAACATAGAAAGAGATACTCCCAGTAAAAAGTAAGTGGACTGAATTTATAGCGTGTGCTTAAAAGAGAAAAATAAACTAATTTAACAATAAATTATTCAGCCATTAGTTAAGTAAGAAATAGGTGTATCTAATCTCAAGTTTAATCTGCAGGAGCAGATTGCCCAGGGGTCAGGGGCAGGGGGACCCTAAGACTAGCCAAGACGCCTTTTTTACGAAATACGATTGAGATATGTTGCGCCCATTCTAATTTTCTGGAAATTTTTTTATATTATTCTTTAATCAACTATTGACATTTTAAAAACGCTTCGTGTGCTTTCTTTGAAAGACCTGACCTCATAATGGACCGATTAAAGACTTTACTAATGTTGCAACTAACACGAAATCCATCACAATTAATAAGTTAATACAAAAATGAAAAATAAAATTCCTCGATATCATAAATCCTAGACACTACCTAATCTTGAAAATCATGACCAGGAAGGAATGATTCTCATATTAATTTACTTCCTCGCGAGCTTGAGATACTACAAGGTAGTATATCGAGGTGTACAATTTATTTGATACAAATATTCTAACTTTTGCGTGGGCGGTGATGCATCACACGAAACTGAAGGCGTTTTTGACTGGTGAAAACAGTCTGTCGTAGCTCGCAAGGACGCGCATTGCGAAAACGGATCAAATAAACCCGAACCTCCCCGTCATTTCTTTGAAAAATTATTTCGATCATTCTAGATACAAGACATTTGCAAGTGAATCTGCATAATTTTTTTGTTTACTCCTCAACGAGACACCACTTTTTTCAAAACTTTTTACGTGTCTTGCGTATCTCGCTCTACAATGTCGTAGATTTTTCATCGTGAGAAAACGACTCAAGTTATTTCTTGGATGTTTTACTATTCTTCCTGTCAAAATATTTAGTTGGAAGAGGGGGGGGGGGGTTAAAAAATGACGTTTACGGTTTATGTGAAAAGTAAAATAACAGCGAAGGTTTTGAAATATCATATCGAGTTACACGTGTTTTGGAAGTTTTACCATCGATCTACATATATCAAGAAACAATGCTGACTGATAATTTCGTGACATTTCTCCTCAAGGGAACAACGTGAAACACTGTTTGTTCTGCAGCGAATCTGAGTTACTTCAAGTGGATCATACCTGTATGTAATGAAACTTCATGAACTAAATGACTCCACGGCTGTGTTCTCTATTTTCCCTTTATGTTTTAAAACTTCTATTCTTCCGTATTTTCAATCTTAACGTAAATATTTCTCCTTCCAGAGTCAAACCATCAATTCAGTACTTTTTCCTGTGTTAAAGCCCGCAGAAACAGGTCCACACTTTGCGAAAATTATTCCGATCACCGATGGTTTAAATTTGCCAACAGGAAGCTCTACCGACACTAATCCATGTGACCGATGTTTAAATGAAGCTACGAAACAGGTTTGCCAGAGTCAATGAATCAATATCATCAAATTTGAAAGTTGTATAACAGTTATTTCCTCATACTATGGGTTTTCTTCAGATAAAAAAATTAATAAAAATAATAGTTAAAAAGCAAATGAAAGAAAAATGACAACTTGGAATGACCTAAATTGCGAGGACAAATTATTTTCGAGCATCGTATAGATATGCATATGTAGCATGTGATACAAAAGACTTAATGATTGTAGAAAGTTCACGAATGATTCTCTTTGAACTAATATTTATATTCAGTAGGAGGAAATTTTGCTCGCCATGCCGGAAAAATTGGCTCTTTAGGAGCTAGGGAATCAAAATACTCAATGTACAATCGGTCTATATTATATTATATTCAAAATAATTGACGTCTTTTTTTCCAGTGCCTAGGGGAGGATATCATTGCAAAAAACTCCAAAATAAATGCTGTCATCCATGAAGCAAAATCAACTGAGGGTCAAACTCCGAGGAATCCTTTATCTAACTCGAAAATTTTGCTGGGCTACGAAGAGCCAGCCATACCGAGACAAAAACTCCGGACAAATATCGAAGCATATAGAATGCAACTTAAAAAGCGGGAAGATGAAATGGGTATTCTTCAAGAAAATATGCGAGACCAAAATTGCGAGATTGAAACCCTTAGGAAGCTGCTTTGTACCTATCAGCAACAGATGATCGAGATCAAGAAAAGTCTTAAGGACTCGGAGAAAGAAATGGTGCTTCTGAAACAGACAATTGGCGAGGAGCGTAAAGAGTCCGCTAAACTTGGAAAGATCAACGAGTCTGAACTACAGATTATTCATGATCTAACCCAAAACCTTAAAAGTGAATCGGAAAAAAATGATGCCTTGAAAAACAGCAATGAAAATCTCATGAAATTACTGTCCACGGTACAGGATGCAAATAGGTATGTATGGGCAATTTCTTGGGGCTTTTGCAGGGGGTTTTAGTCGGCACAGGGGACAAGCTGAAGGAGCTTCTGTTTCAAAATGAAGAAAAAATTACGGATCTAAACGTCGTGCTGTAAGCACAGGCTCCATTCCGGCGCAGAATCATACGGTTTCGGATGTGTTCCGGGCTCAGTGGCTGGTTTCAAAGCATGAAATTATGAGCGATATGGCTTTTTACATTTACAGTGTTGCTTTATCTACAATAGTTGTGGAGAAAAAAAATAGGGAAACTTGTTTGTTGGAATACTCTCGTGAATGAGACATGGCTACTATCAAAATATTTTCCTATACCCTCAAATTAAATAAACCAAATCCTCCGCATTTTTCACAATCCATTTTTGATATTTTGAAAGTATAGTAGGTGCCATATAATAATACACGAAGTTCATGATTACCTATACTTCAAACGTTTCAAGAAACTTTTGAATTGATAATATACAGGTAAAAGATTTTAATCTTATTATATTGACTTTTTAAGAGTGGTATTGTCTGTCTTTTTAAAAATTTGAATGAAGTAGGTATGTGAACAATTTCGTAGTATTTTAAGTTAAGGTTAAATCATAGATTCAAACCTTGTCATGGCATAGCCACATAGTTTTATTATTAGAACAATCGGTTTATGCCTTAATTACAACGCAGAAAAACATCAGCTATAAAGTAATCTCACATGAATATATAAATGTAACCTTTCTCGACAGAAATTTAACGAAAGAAATAGAGATTCAACAAGCGAAAATCGAAGAATTAGTGGCCAAAAGAATCTGGGACGAAGCAGGATCTCGGGAAGAAGAGCAGCATTTGTCAGAGGAACTACAAAGAGCTAGACAAGGAATCTTGGAGCAGGAGAACGAACGAATGAAAACTCAAGTCGAGAACGAAAGTTTGATGCTCAAGTTGGCAGAACTTGAAACTGAACTTGCAAAAAAGGCAGAGCTTGTGGTCGAGTTGCAACTGAAATTGGAGAAGCTGAAAGTAGAGAATGAGAATATCACCGAAGGCGCGAAAATGATGATTGAGAGTCAAAGACAACTTAATGCCCACCTAACTGAGGTATGTATTTTCTAATTTTTTGTAAAAGGGTTTATGTATATCGATGGCAAAATGTGAAAAACGAATATCTCAATTGGAACGTTCAAAAATATTTAACTACATGTTAGATTTTCCTCAAGAAAAGCTTATCAAAATATTTCCCTGTAATTTTTCATAGCGAATTAGTAAGTGAAGAAAATTGTCAAAAAATTTGAACAGAAGATGTTGGTTGATTTTCTGTTTGAAATCAAAACATGAGCGGCGACCTACAACGTCACAACCTGAGTTATGCGTTTTTTTACATTAGCCATCGATAATGTACTCACATCAATAAAAATCGGTTAGAAGTGGCAATTCTAAACTGCAATAATACTATACCACCGCCCCCCCTCCCAAACATGTTGAAACAAGGCGATGCACCAATTGCACCACCGAGATGCATGTGACAAATAGGCAGAAAGATAATTTTTAGAAATGACAGCTTTTAAATATTTTTCTGAGGAGGCTGGTATTCATATAAGAGAATTACTTAGAGGCTAATGAAGAAAACCAGAAACGGGGTGTTTACACAGCTAGAAAAGGAAGACATTCATAGTTAAAAAGTTTGAACATGTATTCAGGAGCATGATTACTTTGATAGCTTTTGGGTAAAAATGTGCTGTCATCCTTAAATTGTCGGGATTTTGAGGCTGTCCTTAAACTTTCATTGTAGATACCTTCCTCTCTTCCAAAATCATCTGGAACAGACGATGTATTTGGAAAGCTTTAAGTTCCGTCATATTACGTTAAGTAGGTACAACTTTTAATTACGAGATATTCTCTTTCCTCCATTTCAGGCGAATGAAAGCTTGAACAAAGAGAAATTGCACGTCCAGAAAACCATGCAAAAGCTTAAAAGTACACATCGTCGAGACCTTAGTAAAATAATAGGTTCGCTCACAAAGCTGCTTTCGATCAAATTCAAAGAAAGTGAGGACCTGCAGCAGAGATTAGAGCGCAAAGATGCGCTCCTAGCTAAACTGGCGGCTGCAAGATCTCCTGCCTGCTGCCAATGTGAGCGTAAAATCGTGAGGGAAGGATTGCAAAGAGTGCAAATGCCCCAGGATTACTTACAACATCCAAACGACTGGTGGGAGAGAAAACAAAATTTAGTGGGTCTTCTAGCCTCAATGTCCCCTGGGAGTTCCAAGAGCAGTGCATCTAGCAGGTAAGTACACGTGCCTGTAAATCTCGTTTTTTATCTACATAGATTGGACACATACACTTAAAAAATGCCGTGTTTATGGTTACCTACTTTGAGTTCCTTTTTCCCGGTCAGATCAGGCGAGGCGACTTGGTCAATCGACCAAAATGTTGGTCAGATCGATCGAAAATGTCGGTCACTCTGAAATATCTAGAGATGGAGAAAGTGTGCGGCCGAACTAATGCACATACTGTGCTGCTCGTTGAGCAAGGGCAACGGGGCGCCTTCATTTTTTCTGTATGCAACACGGACATCCATTGAGCACGAATAATTGTATCACGGCGCGGCGTTAGTCACAACACCCAGGGCTGCGGCCGCGCTTGTATCAGTGCGTTGTCGTCCTTCCAAAAAATTTCTCAAAGTTGAGACAGTGATGGAGAAGATCGCCCACGTGGTCAGAGTCCACGGGCGATCTCAATTTTCGTACGAGCCCCAAAAAGCATAGACACAGGGAACATGTGAAACAGGGCTCACATTAAAATGGAGACACGCCCTTACGGCAGAAAAGAAACGTATAATATCCCTTCGAACTCTCCATACAGGTGCACATACAGGTACAGCGTGAAGATTTTCGCAAAGTTGTCGTGGCTGAGGTCTTTTTCTCAACTTTGCCAAGTTATAATCGACTTAATTAATTTGGTTGAACAAAGAAGTTTATCAGGAATTTTGAACTGTATTATTAAATCAACCCTAGTAGCAGAGTTATATAAAAAATTTGTTTTTAAAAGTATAAACCGTAAATAACCACAAGCTAAAGAATATTCATTGTTTATGTAATGGATGTAAAGTTTTTTAGTTAAAAGTTTACTAAAAAACTTATTTTATTATGTAACCCTTAGTAAAAAAGTTATATAACCAAATTCAAAGAGTGTATAAAATGAATTTTCATTATTCTTCCTGGCTGGTAGCGCACTCTAGTTATGAAGTGTGCAAGTTTTCATATGCGTTACTACCAGGTGGTGGATCATCGTAGAGTTGTGACTTACCTTAAATCCGCGCCGTCCTAGTCGGGACTAGAACCCACGCTTCGAGATGGAGTTGCAATCCGAAGTCCAGTACTTTGCCACCAGACCAGCCAGGCTTGATATGAATGGGCCCCTAAATTCAATCTCTTAAGTATCGCAGGCCTCTGAGTCCGTAATATTTTGCTTATTGACGGATTCTTATGATATTTTACCAGACTTTATTATTTATTATTTATTTATTTATTGTTTTTTATTTCATGATGTAATTTTTTCATTTTCATTTTTTTTAACTCTCTCTCATTTTTTTAGCTCTCTCTTTTTTTTAACTATCATGATTTTTAACTATCATTTTTTCTAACTCTCTCTATTTTTTTTAACTCTCATTTTTTTAACTCTCTCTCTCTCTCTCTTTTTTAACTTTATAATTGCGTCTTTTTCCAGTTTTAATTATTTGGGCCTTTTTCTAGTTTGAATTTATGTCGATGTATTTATGTTATTTATTTATTATTATTATCATTTCCTTTTTTCTTTTAAATTTTTATAATATTAATTTAAACATTTTAAAAAAAATCAAAATTTTTAAAATAATATTTAATAATATTTTTAAAATATTAACAAAAATAATTATGATATACTTTAAAAATATTATAAAATATTATTTTAAAAATTTTAATTTTTTATATTTTTAATATATTTTTAAAATGTTTTAAAAATATTCATTGATTGTATTTCAAAAGTACTTTTGAAAATATTTTAAAAATACATGAAAAACATTTTAAAAATATATTAAATTTCAATATTTTTAAAATATTGCTGTCTAACTGGGCAGGGTTATGAGCCAGACACGCTACCAACTGAGGTAACAGGGCTCCTCGGATTGTGTGCCGAGATATCCCCTTTTAACTCGTCTCGGAGCCATTAGTACCTCTAATAATACCTATCCCACGCAGTCTGAGAGTCGAGGGTGTTCATTGAAATGAGATCATCATCATCATTCATGAAAATGAGATAGGTTTACGTTAAAGTCATTCAGGTCATTTATATAACAGTTATAATAAGCAAATTAAGCAAAAGGATACTATGCGTATAAAGAAAATTTATAAAAACCCTTCCTCAATTATATAAATTTTATATAAACGTTATCTTCTGAAAATATGAATAATTATTTTCATGGGCATTTTATATAAAACTTATATACACGATATATAAACTTTAGTTAAAATGGTGATTATATAACCGGTATTAATTCCTTATACGTTTGTTAGGAAGGGGAAAGTGAATCATGCTACTAGAGAATTTAGTTCGGTAAAATTTTAATTTGTGATTTTTTTCTCTGAATGGAGACGAATCATTTGGAATTTCTTAAAAAGTAGCCCTCAAATTACCTTTTAAAATCCAATAGACACATGTTCAATCGATGTTTCAGTCTTCAACTTGTCAAAAGCTGTTCGAACAGAGGCGATATTAACTCCATAGATGGTTTTCTGCAGCTCCGCACTTCCACTTTCCGGAGTTTGCACGAGAAGATAGGTAGTCTCTCCATCAGGAGTGAGCCTTATATGCATGCCTCGCTAAAGCAGCCTGGAAAACGTGCCGACTTTTCAGATCTCATAAGGTTAGGGATCAGCCACCTGATCGGTCAAGCAGAGCGTTCAAAAAGAACAAATCATCAAATATTTCCATCCGAAAACAAAAAGGATCAAAGTTCGATTCGCTCACCAAGAATGAAGGTAGACGAAGTTATTCAAACGAGTACCGTAATGGTTACAGCCGGCACGGTGCGGTTACAGCCGAGGGTTTCAGGGCTGTCCAGCGATAAGCAATTTGAGGAGGGGCCTAGAATGCTATGGACGCACTCCAAAAGTGATTCAACGCTCTTTCGACTCTTTTCAAGAATATGTTCCAATATTTACGAGGTAATATCTAGACTGGTAGTAGACAGTACTTCTTGAGACTGCAAAAGCTGCACCATCGAACTACGCTTGGTAAGGAAACACCACCATCGAAAAGGCGCAAGGAGGTGTCGGAGATAGCCACGAAATCAACACTACTCCTCATCCCCTTATACAGGACCTAAGTGACTCAGGAGTTTCTAAAACTCGTAAATATGAGTGTGTAAGTATGAGAACATTTCGCTAGCCACTAATCGTACCCTGGAAAGTACTGCTCGTTCTAAAATGTTTATCTGCCTGGCAAAAAGAGTCGCGACAACGTAGTCACAAATTCCAAAATTAACGCAGTGATAATATTTTCGCGGTTGCTGTAGGATTGCGCGAATGCCCCCTTCTTTACCTTTTTGGAGATGCATATGATTGCGCGAATTTTTCTGGTGCTGAAAACTCACACGTTTGCGCGAATATTCTATATCAACGAGGAAACGTTAATCTGGCAACTTTAGTAGTTTGTGGTATGATAACTGCATCGCAGAAAACTGTTCATTATCTCCTTACTTACGAGCATGTCTCTCTCGCAGCACGAATGGTCTAGAGAGCTTTCATAGACATTTAAAAAGTGAACTAGGGGTCTGTGGCCGCTACACGGCCGCCAACCACTAAAACAGCAAAGAATCGTAGAACAACCATGTTCAAGTTTTTTAAGAGATGAATGGATTTAAAACCCGACGGGTGTGCCTGAAAGAAAGTGTATATTTATCTATAATTGCGACGTTATGCACCACTTTAATGGTTTTTTTTTTTTTTTTTTTTTTTTTTTTTTTTTTTTTTTTTTTTTTTTTTTTTTTTTAATATACGTTTCTAAAAAGCTACACACAATTTTTCTGGAAAGTTTCCATGAATTTACCTAAATAATATCAAATTAAAGTATCGAAAATTTCGTCGCGATATTCGCGTTCGTCCTTTTTTTTTAATGTAACCAAAAAAAATTAAATAACATCCGAGTTTCTGAATCGTTTCAAGGAGGATAAATATTTTCCCTTTAATTGTGGTAAAAACTGGAGCAGAAAGTCAAGAATGATGACACGCAGTCCTACTACAGTCTCGTAGGCGCTAATATGCGTTTCACGCCAACTGACCGACTGCACTGCGTTTGGCGCAATGCGAGAAGTATCCATGCAGTCTTGTAGGCGCCAGTATGAGCCGCGGCGCCCGCGTTATTTGGCGCTATGCGTGTAGTATTCCGAAAGTCTTGCAGGCGCTGATATACGTCCAACGCGATTATTCGAATTAGCGTTGGAACAATCGCGGCATCGAATAATAGAGTTTGATAGGCCTATTTGATGACTGATTCTTTTTCAGATGACTTTCATGAGATCGTGGATGACAAAAATCGAATTGATGAGATCTACATGATATGGACTGCATTTTGCAATTTGGAACTATAAATTCTGGCTCTTCTGGAAAAACACTTATGTGCATAGGGAAACCAATGGCACGTACGTTGTTTTTAAACCGGGCTAGAATTTATAGTTCCAAATTGCAAAATGTAGTCCATATATGGAATTGTTCATCTCGTAAATTGCGAGGTAAGCAACGGTGTGAAATGTTGAAGGTAGCGAGGGATTCCTGAAGTTTGGTGGGCGCCACTATCTCACCTCAAATTTCAATATTGAAAATATGAGTAAAAAATAAACTCTTCCATCATCGAAACACTCAAAAGCTAGTTGAGCTCTGGCTAATCATCCGCATTTGAATATCAGAACTGAACACTTGTCACTCCACTCGAGTAACTTAATTTTGATGCACAAAAAATATCTATACGATGCCCTTCAAATTAGAGTAGCGACTGTTGCTTGAAAGTTTCCTTTATGGGAAACCACTAAACAATCTGCGCTGTTGCCATTGTTTTGAATAATTATTAATCCGAATTTGATGATTCTATTAGATAACAAGAGACTTATACTCGAGGAGTAAAGAGAACATCGAGAATGAGAAGTGTAGGTGTAGTGTAGCGCCGCTCGACGGCGGGTGATATGAGAACAGTGCTCTATCCTCTGCCGTTAACGCCGCAGTTCCTCAAGAATGGATCAAAGCTGTAGAATTCTTGGATTTGCCCTATCTCTTCTGGCTCATTCGGTTTCTACCTTGGAGTCATCCGTGGACAGGCTAGAATTGGACACTTTTAAAGTATATCTTGGGCATGAGTCTCTTAGAGTAAATTTAGATAATCCGAGCCATGCCAGTCCTCAAGATGAAAGTCTACCAGGTATGTACCTAATTAAATCTAGTTTTCTGCACTTAGAATCTTGGGGCAAAATCTTGACAAATTAAAAGTCCACAATATGTGCAATATTAGTAAAAAAACAATAATAAATAGTCATATTGATAGTATAAAAAAATCAACGATTTAACGATTCTGCTTCGAGCCGGAGTCTTATTTTTCAAGTCTATCTTATGTATAAAAAAAACTCACCAATGACATACATAAGAAAAGAAAGAGAAAATTTTTGATGATGGTACCCACATTCCCAGATTGGTTTTTTTCATTGAAAAATTGCAATTTTTGGACACCACAATGGGCCAAGTTTTTGTACTTCTAAATTCCTTCCCTGTCAAAACTTACATTTTCATGCATTAGTATTATATATTTTCACCAATTATTACAATTGATGTTTTTATCAATGAATAAAAATTTAAACTCTGATTATTATACAATTGAAATGGAATTGCAATTTTTTCTTTCGGCAAAGTGTTCCCACTACACTATTCGCAGATGAAAAAACTGAAATTCGTTGAAATTTTATGATGTAAAAGAAACATATGGAATGAATGAATATTAATTAGTGGTTGTTCTGTGACATGGTGAAAAAGGATTTTAAAGTTTAAAGACCACACGTGACCTTGCTCATAAAAAATTCAAAAAGCTGCCACGAAACTGAAAATTGAATAACATAAAATTTTCCATTGTATGGAAGGGTATAATAATGGCAACTACCTATAGTTATATTTTTAGAAACTCTGTACATTTCTTGATTTTTTTTTTCATAAAAATGCTATATGTATCTACATTGAATACTTATTCGATTCCATCTGGCGATTTGTAGCAGAGGTCTGCGTCGAACATCAGAAAATTCTGATCATCGAAACATGCAAAAAACATACAGAAAAATATGAGAAAAGCGGGAAAACTCACCCTCTTTTCGAATATGTTTTTGATTCTTTTTTGCTTCATTGTCGCCGTTCTATGAAATGCCCCCGTTCCAGGTATTTGGAGGGAAAGCCCAGTTTTCCCATTTTCCCTTCTGAAACCCTGATTGTACTCGTGATTTGAATATTTCTTTGAGATTAAATCCTAAAACACTGTTTTGTTTTGTTCCCAAGGGAAAATACCATCGCCAATCGAAATTGGAGTACAACTCACCAGCAATGGTATCGCTCTGAAAAACGCTAAAGTTCTCGGTCAAAATAAAATTGGATTTGGGGAGCGTACTACAGTACAACTGAAAAATAGCAAAGGAGAAAAGAGATGTGTTGAAGTTGAGTGGAGTACCTCTAACGCTAAACAGACCCTTGAAGATTGCTTTCACATGAGACCTCATGATTGGTACGGAGGAGCCCAACAATTAGATCAGTACTGGCCTGTTCAACAAGCCATATTCAAGGAAGACTCGTATGTAACAAAAGAATTCAGTCATAACCGCACACACGCGAATATCGCTGAACCTTACTGGTTTAATTCAGATGGCTTCATGATCTACGTTGATCCAACGGTTCCTCTATTCGTTGACCAAAACCATCACAGGAATGAAACATTGTGTCTTCTTGCCAAGCACGATGCACCTTACTTGAGGAAAGGCGGACCAACATTAAAGTACACCATGTGCAAGTTTGAAAATCCGCGGGTAGCTCATGAATACGCTGTTAAGCGATTCCTTGGAAAGCCATCAGGTATACCGGATACTACAATGGTCCAGCATCCCATCTGGTCTACATGGGCAAAGTACAAAACTGACATTGATGAAGATGTAATCATGCAGTTCGCCAGACAGATTGTAGATAATGGTTTCAATAACAGCCAAATTGAGATAGACGATATGTGGCAAACGTGCTATGGTAGCGTATCTTTTAATGAGACCCGGTTTCCGAACATAAAAAAGCTAGTAACCAAGCTGAACAAAATGGGTTTCAGGACCACGATTTGGGTTCCCCCCGTCATTAATCTTGACTGCTATATACATGAGGAAGCTACGAAGAAAGGCTACTTGGTGAAAAACACAGAAGGGAACACGACGACCTTTTGGTGGAATGGTTTTGGGAGTTACATTGATTTTACAAATCCTGCAGCAGCTGACTGGCATGAAAAGCGTGTGCGAAATATGCTGAGAGAAAGTGGAATCGATGCTCCAAAATTTGACGCTGGAGAGTCTAGTTGGGCACCGCAGATTCCCGTCTTGAGTGGTCCAGAATCGGAGCAACCTGAAATTATTGTTCGAAATTATGTGCAACTTGCTGCCAAGTTTGGTCCTATGGTAGAAGTTCGAACAGCGAAACGTACCCAGAATCTTCCGATTTTCGTGAGAATGCACGACAGAGACGCTGTATGGGGATTAAAGCATGGCTTGCACAGTGTTATCACTACAGTATTTCAAATGAATTTCAATGGTTATCCGTTCGTCTTACCCGACATGGTTGGAGGAAATCTTCAAATGAATGATACAGCCGACAAAGAAATATTTATTCGTTATCTGCAGACAAATGTATTCTTGCCAACCATTCAGTTTTCAATTCCTCCCTGGGATTACGATAATGAGGTTAGTATACCTAATCAGAATATTATGTTGCTAGACTTGAACATGTTTTAACGTTTGCTTGTTCTTATTCTAACAATGTAGTGACATTTTGATTTTTTTTGCCGGTGCACGTACCCTTCTTAATAATTGCTACAACTTGATTTACAGACGATTGCGTTGAGTAAAAGATACACTACGCTGCACTATGAATACTCTGGTACAATTATTGAGTTGATGAAGAAAGCTGTAGAAACTGGTCAACCAATCAATACTCCCATTTGGTGGGTGGATCCTACCAACAAGGAAACTTATGGAATCAATACAGGTTTGCACACTCATTTTGCTACCCCAACTTCAAACTTTAGCTTCAGACTTTTGACTTTTAATCAATTTTCTAGTGGGTAGGCAAAAAGTAAAATAATAATCACCATGCTTTAAACATTTTAAGGAGTCGAACTTTATTCATATAGCATGAGTTTTTTTATTGTCCACAAGGAAAAATCAACTTTTTACTACGACATATGATAGTCAGAGATGGGGTTCAACAACATTCACCTGCTGACTGACTATCGTAGACACTAGACATGAAGAAAAAAAAAATTATTTTTATTTTTGTATTCTTTTCAAACCGAATGGTTTCAATTATATATCTTGATACTTGCTACGAACGAAAAAATTATGAAAGAACAAACATAAATGTGGTTAATAATCTTGAATTCCAACGCCGCGCACCGCGCCGCGCCGCGCCGACCACACTGTGTTGGCGCAATGCCTGAAGTATTCATGCAGTTTTGTAGGCGCTATGCGTTTCACGCCGACCGCTGCTGACCACACTGTTTGGCGTAATGCGTGAAGTATTCATGCAGTTTTGTAGGCGCTATGCGTCTAACGCCGACCGCCGCGCCGCGCGCGCCGCTCCGTTCCACGTGTTTGGTTTCTCTCTTAACTCGACTAATTAAAGGTGTGGTCTCTTGTATCACCGAAAGACATAACAAAATGAGAAATTACTACACTTTTACTCTCAGGAAATGAGAGATTTTGTCGCCTTTTCTCGTTCGTAATTCATTTTCTGAATCCGATTTTTTTTTCTCTCTTTTCATGATAACTAAATTTAAAAAGATTGCAAAATTTGCCGCCCCCTATATTTTGCCGCCATGGGCCGCGGCCCGTGTGGCCACCCCCTTAATCCGGCCCTGATTTTCTGTATTGGCTGAAACTCGGAAGTGTCAAACAAGTTTGCTGATTCCATGACGATTTTCTATTTATATTTTTTTTTAAAAAAATATTGGTTGGACTATAACTAATCAGAAAAAACCCAGAGCTGTATTTTTTTTTTTTTTTTCAAAGTTTCAGATATTACAGTATTTCAGTATTTATTTGGATAGGTGAACTGAATCTGCTAATAATGGTAATATTGTACTTCAATTTTTATAGAATAGATATACTTGAAAACCAGATTTAACTTCTTATTTTTTTATTTTCAGAATATATGCTTGGGGAGGATATTCTTGTCGCGCCTGTTTTAGAGCAAGGAGCAACTAGTCGGGATATTTACTTGCCAAAAGGCCAATGGCGAGAAGAAGTTAAGCCTGATAGACCAGTGGTTACCGGTCCAACATGGCTCCGAAATTACCCAGCGCCATTAGACACTCTTCCGTACTTCACCCGTGTCTCGTCCGGTGCTGAGCGTCTTTCGCTCACTGTTTTATTAACTGTCTATATTATTGGTTCTTTTCTCTTGGAGTTTTATTTTTTTTAAAAATTCATTTAGGTTTTATTTATTTTCAAACTTAATTTTGTTTCAGGTTTTTAGTTGCATAATTAAGTACTTGAACGTTCAGGGAGTAAGTTGAAGCACGACAATAAAATGACTAATCTTAGAAAGCCATTAATAAGCATAGTAAAATTTTGGATTGATCTTTTAATTCGTTTTAGTTTTTGCTTCATGTTTTAACTAATTAGAAGGGGTTTAATTTCACCGGTTTTTATTTCTTCTGTTTTGGAGGAGAGGGAAGGGACGTTAAATAAAAGAACCCAGCATAGCAGTAGAACACTGTTAAAAAAAACGGAGTGAGACTCAGCACAAGCGCGAGTAAGAACGGGCCCTCACTTCGCCGGACCGAGGAGTCACTCCGACGGAGAATCGGCTGGACGGAATTTGGGTGCCGTACGTATAGAAATCACTCCGACGCCGGACGGATTCGCGGGAGCCGCAAATTTAGGGGTTCGCAGCTAGGGGATGGTGGAAAGGGGTTAATTGTGGAAATAATTTTTGAAACCATGAAAAATAAAAATAATGAAACCATTGGAACGTGATTTAACCGATTTTGAAGGTTAGAAATTTTCTACCTACCTTGGGAATTGAACCCGGGACCTATCTAACACTAACCGACGACCCTACCGACTGAGCTATAGCGAACGATGCATGTGGGTGACGCAAAAACGGTATTTAACGTCGATTTGAACGGGCCGCTAAGATATTTTCAATCTACCTGGATTTGTCCGTGTACTTAGTTTACTTTACTATATTTTTAACTATATTTTATCGTTTTACTTTGTTTTATTTCCTTGTTGTCTCTATTTTTTCTTCACTCTATTTTATTTTTTCAAGCACTTCATTTTTTTTCTTTAATTATTTACTTCTCATTCCTTTACTTTGTTTTATATTTACTGTGATTTCTTTTAATACTTCATCATAATTTTTGGACTTCACTTGACTCTTAAAATTCATTCTATTCTTTAACATCATTTAGTTGTTTCCCTTATTTTATTTTTTTCTTCATCTCCTTGCTCCCTCTAATAATTTACTTCAATCTAGTCTTTGACTTCATTTCATCATATATTTGATTTACTTTATTTTATTTCTTTTCTATTGTCTCTGTTATACCATAATTTCGACTATTCTATTATTTCCACTATTCTATTATTTTTTCTATTTTTTTCTCTCTAAATTTTTCATTTTCATTCTGAGAGTGGTAGGCTTAAAGGGGAGAAGAGACAGTATATAGCGCTAGTGCGAGGGAGAGAAGGTGCGCGTGACTCCGGGCCGTACTGCAGCTCCGGTGCGGAGTGCTTTGACTACACTTGCAGCCCGTCTCAGCACCTACGCGCTGAACCGCACTCCCGTGTTCATTCTCACTCCGGATTTTCCGTCGGACGGAATCAACGATTTTTAACAGTGAAGTTAATATTGGTAGTATAACTTCAAGGAAAGGTATTGATAACAATTATTTTCCTCCTTTCCGATTATCTTGCTTGATTTACATCGAAAGCCAGACAAAAGCAAAAATATAGGAAGAAACAAGGTCAATTACAGTTCATTGTCCACGGCGAGATGTACTTCAAAGCGACTCAATCATTCGCAATCATTAGATAAAGTAATAAAACTCAAAATATGGAAAAAGCATAACTCGCCACCCACTGTCAGCAACACCTAATCACATAACGCACTTCAAAGAGTTCTTGGGTACCAACTTAGCCACTCAGACCATACAAACAATATTTGGTTGTGGATTTTCGAGCACCACGTGGATTTTGTCTTTTCCCCCTCAATTACCTACTTTAGATCGGACATTTTGTCTAAGTTTAAAAATAAAACATGTTGCTAATTGAATTTGAGTTTTTCTTTTTGAAAATTGAAACAAAAAGTAAGGCTTGAATTCATTTTAAGATGATTTAAAAGGAAAAACACTGAATGAAATGTTTCGAATTAAATAAAAAGCTCGAGTTGCGTGAACAACAATAAACAGAAAACAGCTGGTGAGTAAGGATTCGTTCAGCTCTAAGCCGACGCGACTGAGTCCGCGTCGACGCACGAAAAATTGCATAAAATGCAAACAATAGGCGCCGAAGACGAGGTTCGGATGTATGTGTATTTGGACTTATTACCGAGAGATGTTGTTTTTAGGTGACGTCCCGACTTTTTTCGACCATAATCTCTGTACTTATAGGGCAGATGAATTATATCCTCTAGTGCAAATTTATGCCGCTATCTCCAAAGCGACAAAAATGGAGACACCGTGTTTTTTATCTGTCACCCGCAAGGTACCGGGGCCTACGAGACATAAAACAGATAAACGGGATCCTGTGGTTTTGGATTTAATTGAAATTTTTTGCAATCTGCGCTGCTACAGAAAAGTGGAAAAAGTGTAAAAGAGTAAGTAAACGATTAGATGACGGGAAGAAACATTATGAGCAGGTTCAAACTCGGCTAACATGTTCGAAGCAACTTTCATGCCATTATTGATATCAATGAACTAAACCTAACATGTTCGAAGCAACTTTCATGCCATTATTGATACCAATGAACTAAATATGACAAAACTGATGCAAGCAATAACTATTACTGCTCTCAGGTTGCTCACATATTGCCTAACGAGATGTTGAAGGCGAACTGGTCCTAGCGAGTGAGAAATAATGGGAGTGAAGTATCAAACCGCCACAGCTATGAACAAACCGAGTGAGCGTGGCAGAAATGCTGCGAGCAACTATTACTGCTCCCAGGCCGCTCATATTTCCTATCGAGATATGAAAGGGGGACTGGTTTTAACAAGTGGGAAATAATGTAAGTAAAGTTTTAATCCTTTAATGCCGCGAATCAAGCAGTGCTCATTAATTTGAAATTAGGACCCGTCAGTCAAAATATCAACCGGGTCTTAAAGATCTTTAAAAAAAAACAAAGTATAACCCTTTTTGACTCATTGACAGGGAAAATAAAAGTTCTCCCTTCAAAAGGGACTTATTCGAGAGTGATATCAAGATTTCCTCCCCTTTTAACCCCAATGATAAAGAGAGGAAAAGGTAATACTTTATCTTTATTAATTGGAAACAACCAAAAATTTAAATCTAGAGGTCCCCAAACTACATGTTGCCCGTTGAAAAGCCCGTTGAAAACGGATTGCTATGAGGTTCAAAGATTTAAGGAATCGAGTCAAAAAGTGCTGAAAGTTGCATTTCGAAGGAGGTACATTTTTAAAACTTTCGGGGGGAAGGCCTCCCTCCGGTTCCTCTCGCCTTCGAAGGGTTATCCTCCAGACTCCCCCCTTAGAGGGGTCACCATACGGCAGGAAAGGCCCTTGACCATGATCGCCCTTTAACCTTTTCGGTGCTAGTTCAACCCCGGCCAATATGAGAGACTCGAGTGCACGATGGCTTTATCACTTTCGCTCCGTCCCGGCAAGGAACACGCAGTATTACTCCTCTCGCTGAATATTTTCCGTTCTGTCGAGTTCGCCTTCACTAACTGCGTGAAGGCAATATGAATGACCTGGGAGCACGAATAGTTGCGTGCAGTAGTTTTGTCACTTTCAATATCCATCCAGGCAAAGAACACGCGCTGATAAGTCAAGAACAAAGATATTGTTATCCATAGGAAGTTCTTTCACAATGAAACCAATATTTGATTCGCTTATGCCTAAAAAGCGCGAAAAAATTGACCGGGGGACGACATCTGCTGACTTTCTGAGTCTTCCATGCATGTTGCTAAGCAATATTGAGACAAGAATCTGCCTAAAAATGGTCTATCCTTCGCGCACCACTACTCGCACTCGTACCCATTAATTAAACGCGAAAAATCACCCCTTTCAACCGTGATTTTTCCCGCGAGTTTAATTTGCATCAACAGGAATACAAATTTAAAGTTGCCGTAAACCCTGGTAAAAATTGGCGATAGGAGCTGCGTTTCAAAATACCATAGGAGTTCTTATAGCCGGCTAAAGAAGGCAATAGAAAATCATATAGCTGGCTGTAGAAAGCGGAGCAAATCATAAAGCCGGGCTTATACGAAGCGATAAAAAAGTATGCAGCTGGGCTATAGTTCCTATCGCCGGGCTTTACACTTTATCGCCATCGGCTATAAAAGGCTATAAGAAATTGTGTAGAGATTCGTGTGCTTTGGAAATCATTAAGTTTGATACGGAGCCAACATAATATTCACAAAACACACATTATATTTTCCTTTAATACATTGTTTTTCATCAATTAAAATGAGAATAATTCATACAGGATGTGCAAACATTTCAAAACCATGAGTTGAAAAACGCTGACTCCGCAAGATTATATTGGAGCATAACACAGAGCGAAGCGGCGCGCGGCGTGCTGCCAGCGATAAGCGCGCACCAGCGCCTACGAACCTAACTGGGATACTTCACGCATGGCGCAATGCGTGAAGTATCCCTGTTAGGTTTGTATGCGCTAAGGCGCTTTTCGCGCTGGCTGCCCGCCCGCCGCGCCGCAGCCTACCACGGCGCTTGAAGCAACTATTTCGCACCAGAGGTATTGCACAGTATCGTGCGAAATTGAAGGCGCTCCAACATATTAGGAATGGCAGGCATCCTTCAAAAGTACGGAGCTTTCCGCGCAAAATAAATCAAGATACTACGGCCCAAAAATAGAGCGGTAGTCCAAAAACTCAATAAGTAAGTCCTAGCATCCGTAATTAGTAACGCTTAGCATACACTTTATCGCCTGGCTGTTGCTCAATCGCCATCGGCTACAAAAGGCTATAAGAAATTGTGCAGCCGGCTATAGAAGCTATTGAAAATCTTACAGCCGGCTTTAGGTCTTTTGGAACACAGATTCTACTGCCAATTTTTACCAGGGAAGACATCAAACTCTAATAATGAAGGCGCGAAAAAATAAAAACTTCACCGATCAGCGGTTTCAGTGATAAGTGGTGGGCACATGATCATTGATTCTATCATTGATCAGTCGACTCAAAAGAGATTCTTTGAAAATTGTAGACCATGTCGTTGAAAGGGGCTTCTTACTCAGACTTGGCCTGTAGACGCAATCTGTGAAGTCCTTTTTTTTTTTTTTTTTTTTTTTTTTTTTTTTTTTTTTTTTTTTTTTTTTTTTTTTAAAGAAATTTTGACTGATATACAAGATGCACCCTAAAAGTCATTTAATGCTTCTAAGATATTATTACATTATCAAAATGAAGCATATGTTGGCTTAAATTATGAGAGATAACATTTCTGATTCACTTTAGTTATATTCGTTTTTTCTGAAGCATCATGTTACACGTCCAAAAGTAGGTATACATCTAATGTCCTCAGTACCTATCATTCTCGTAATTTGTGATCTGTGAAATTCATGAAATCTCTATACCTTTTTCAGTACTAAAAACTTAAGTCTCATTACTTACAGAGTCCACGAAGCGAAGTTAATAACAACTGTAACAACTACGAGAGCGTGCGGTTGCAAAAATTGCCGTCAAAGTGATGAGTATGCAACTTGTCGTGCCTCTCTTAGTTGTAAGAAATTGTTCCCAGTTCAAAGCGGCATCAATGGTATCCTGAGTGAACAGATTGGCCCAGATATTCCGGACCACATTTCACCAAAAACTGCTGTTTGTCAAACCGCCGTCAACACCTACCAAGCGGCGAGTAGGCCTTCGGCCATGCTCGGCAATCTTCGTAGCCAATCAGGTTGCCGCTCGCCGCCCGTAATCTCGAAGAAGGTTCGGCTCCTCTCCTACACCACCCTACACTTTTCGAATTTTGGATTTTGGCAATCGGCCTGATTCTCTTTTCCTTTTTTCCGTAATTAATAACAATAAAAAATTCATTTAATCATTACTTAGCGGCACCTTGTCCAATTTGTGCCTAGCGCCTCTACAACTTAGCAAATTTGGACGTAACCTTTTGAACATTTCATCCCTTCCCTTTGAAATTACTTAGAATAAGTACACTTCACATATCACACGGGACTTTTATCCGCATATTTACTTGGCTTTATTCGCAAAGGATCTTTTAAGAAGTAAATTCTTTCGATAACTTATTGGGGATGGTCAAGTCACCAATTAGAGCCCGTCATTCCATGCCATTATTAATACAGGACTAGGTTTCTTACCTATAATTTGATGGGCACCGTGAGAATAATAGATAACCACAGTATTTGATCCGTGCCTTAAAAAATGAACTGCTGGTGGCAGAACCATCTTGGTGATGTTCATTAGGAATTTTAGACTTTATTCTATTTTTTCAGCAGATGAACCTTACATGGTAACTTGTAAAGTCTTGCCTCATTTTCCTTGAGTTCTACTTAGTTTGATGCCAAAAAACAAGAAAATTCATGGAGAAACGTGCCTTAAAGGTGATAGTTCCCCCTCATAGGTACTTACTATCAGAGTTCCAACGGAAAAAATCTTGTTGTAATAGGTAAATACGGTTTCCATTGCTTCTTCAGCTGTTAATAGACAACTATGCGGGTTTGCTGGAGAATTTGGTGACTGCTAGGATTGTTAATTAGTATCTCCGAAGCCTGGTTGTTATAGCTAAACTTAAAGCATTGGCTTCAACGCATCGCAAAACCAGAACCTTGGAGAGACCAGCGAACATCCATGAGAAAGTGAGTGAGGAGCAAGGTACCTAGCATTGTACATCCGTCTGGTTTTCACAACTACCGTTCCTAGAGATTTAGGATTCAGATTTGCACATCAACCAGAAAGCTTTTCTCCCAATCATCTTGATATAGAGGCAGCTATGCAAGGCGCAGCCAGGTAGTCCAATGCTCAAGCCACTTAATCAACACAAATATTATCCTAACTTACAACAAAATGACTTGTTTCTTCTCTAACAATGGAACCGGAAAATGTTACTTTGAATGCGCGAGAACTTCTTTGGTCGAGATGAAGAAACGTAAATGAAGAAATGAGTCCGGAACATCTCGACCAGGCACAGGCCGCTTTGTTTACATTGGGAGTCTGGAGTATCTCGCCGCAATTTCACTTGAAATCACCATGAACAGATCAACGGGGTAACTGATATTTGATTTTACGAAAGGGATACTTAAATGTTGGACGCGGACGAAAGTTCTTTTGTCGAGGTGAAGAAACGCTAACGCTGAGAAATTGAGTCTGGAACATCTCGAGGAAGTCCGCTCTGGGTCCGCTTTGTTTATGTCCCATTGACGTATAATACAATCTAGACCGCGCATTGGGCCCGACTTTGGGCGGGGAAGGTAAGACAGCTAGGGGGGTAAAGACGCGCCTTCAGCTTAGTTGATACCGCCGGATATACGAGCTAAGTGTACCCGTATCAGGCAACGGCACTGGCAAGACTGGCATTTCCACGAATTCCACCATTGTCTCGCCGGTACACTTGCTGTGTGTTGCTGGGTTGCCTATCGTCTCGCTTGAATTTCGTAATGCGCGGTCTAGATTGTATTATACGTCAATGTTATGTCCGGACTATGTCGCCGTTCGTTTGTTTACATTAGGAGCGAGTTTGACACCGATGACAGACTTTGGTTTTTGATGAAAATTTGGTCTGGAATATCTGGGCCAAACGCAAAAACCATGGTATCCTCAGCTTGTGTTTTTGTAAAGTTTTGAGGTTAAGTTGAGCTTATCATCCGAGTTTTCTGAAATTCTGACTTTTCTCTTATTTTTACCACTTTATCACTCCGCCCAGTTAATTTTTGGAAACAAAGAAAGCAAGCTTTCCCTTCACCCAATTCTTCTCCTCTCTTCTGTTAGTTATCTGCCCCCGTCCTTGTTACTTCATTTTCGTGTCGTCCTGTAAAAAAGTAGCAGTGATCAGGATATAGTTTTATAACTCAGAAAAAAGAATAACTATAGGTATGGATCTCCTTGGATCAATTTTGAAATCGATGGACAAACCTCCTACTATAAACTCAGGCGTTAAACAGCAGTTAAAAAGTAAGTATTTTAAGCATTTACCAATGTTCTTATAACTGACCTTTAGACTCTGTTAATTTATAATGTCCTCGCGCTGTAAGATTTTTCTTATTTAACCAGCATCGAAACCTTGGTGTTGCTCATAATGTACCTATGCTATTAGGTGGATAAGAATTGATTGAGAAACACACTGTCCTAGGCATTTAGAGAGACTGTCAACCGTCATTGATCTCGCAATCCGGAAGCGGGGAAAAGATTCCTGGAAAGCGCGTCAATGGCTAATCTTGCAAATATTGTAATCGATGTATGTTGAGTGTAGTATTTAAAAATTCTCCTCTCCTTTTAATTTTTCTATGTAAGAATCGAATTTAAAATTAGAAATTTTCGTAGAATGCTTACCACTCAAACAGTGAAGCTGCATCATACTAATTTTAAGGAATTATGTGGATAGTCAATCAACTAACAAAGGGCAGTTATGTGGTGTCCTACCCAGATTTTGATTGCAGTGTGGTCAAAAGTTTCTTCTCATCGAGTCATTGAACCCACATTTTGCAGTTTCCACAATTGGGCCGAGTACATTCCAGATAATATTGTAAAAAATCTGGCGGAAATTGCTGTGTGCTAGAGTAGCAAACTGATGGATGTCCTGTGCCAACATTACAGTATAGTGGTTAAGAGCATCACGGACTGGCTGATAGGTCTTGGGTTTGATCCCCAGCTCTGATTATAATTCATATTCCTTCCTGGGATTGTTTTGTTTTATTTATTCTTATCTTCTTCCAACTGAGCGTACAACTATCTTTTCCTAACTACTTAGGTATGTATGCAAAATATGTCGACTATCCATGATTAGCATGTTGGACCGTCAAATTATTATTTATGCAGTGAGCACATAATCATAGTCTATTGTATTTAAGTATTTGGAAAAAGATCTTTAAGATCTTAAAGGTCTTTCACAATCGAATGAACGTAAAAATTAATCAAAACAAAGCAATCACAGGGAGAAATACAAATTACAGAGAGATGCCAAAGATCAAACCCAGGCCTCATCAACTGGGGCTACGTAATGTTCTTGACCGTTGGACTACATGTAATGCACACGCAAGAATCGTGTCATTTTGCCACTTCAGCAAGCGGCATTTTTTGCCATTTTCTTGACACTTTTTTTTGGAACATCCAGGCCCCTTTCGCAGGTAGACAGCAATGAAGGTATCCAATAATTTCACATAAAGAAACTTTAAGCCACACTGTGATCAAAATCTAGGCGAGACACTGTAAGATCTCCCCCTGTAAGAATCGAAGTTGGGTTAAAAGTCTGCACTGGAACAAACTGAGATGTAAGTCAATGGTCTCCAAGTCTTGTTTGTCAACAAACTGTCTTCATAATTTTTGACACAGCTACTTCAGTAACATGTTTTCATTGTCTTGTTTCAGAACAAAATGAAGCATACCTGAAAGAAAAAGATAAGGAGCGTGCTAAACTTCAGTCTTTTCGTGATAGTGTAAGTGTTCTTTACTTGTTCCTTGCAAGATTTCCATCATCATTCCTGAACTCTTTGAATACTTAAACACTTTTAGTTATGGTAATTTTTCCCAGGATCCTGCCATGGTCAGAAAGGAATGTTACAGACGAATTAGCTAGGTTAAACATCAGGCAATCTTTGAAGTGGTCAAAACACTTGAAAGCTGGGAGGAATTGCCGTAAGCATAGAACAGATGAAAGTACATAGTCCATCTTTAACATTTGGTTTTGAAGAAGCTACTTATTTATATTACTAAAGGAGCCGTTGAAGTTATTCTCAAATATTTAGACTTTCATCTCATTTTTAAGTGAAAAGAAGAATGAAAAAAAGAACAGTAGTCATACAGATCTTAATCCAAGCTAATCAAAGTGATCAATAAGGGCAAACGTTGGTAAGTAGGTGTTATTGGTGGAGTAGGGAAAATAAAATTCATAACATCAATTACTTTTGTATGTTTTCCACCAAGAAACTGAATTAGGTACGTGTTTTTCAATCAGTTTTCTCATTTAAGATCCTTATGTCTTGCGAGCTAATGCTTGTGTCTTCCTTCGAAAGGAACATATCATTCTTTATTATACTTACATCTTTCAGTGTGACTGTGCAATGGAATATTTGGTGCTCCGAAAAAATCTCAATGTACAAACTATAATTACTAATTATTATTGCGTGTGCAGATTCAGAAAAAAATCCATGACTTTGCTAAAGACGATTCTCAACAACGACTGAAATTCCCACCAATGGATCAAATTTATCGAGCAGTAATGTAAGTTATTTATTTGTAATATCATATCATCTCTATCTTTTGATTTCTTCATTTTAGGAGTAAATTTATCTTGCCAAGAAGAAACACCACAACTGTATTTGCATTGGAAAATGCGGAATTTAATCCAACCAGAATATTTTTTGAGAATAATGTGCTTCTCATAAGTTAAAAGCTATGGCTGCTTGCTCAATTGCTGTTAGAATGTTCGAATTTTTTCACAGTTTACTTAAATAATAAAATCAGGAGAATGCGCCAAGCTTGTAATGGTTCAATGAGGAAAAACTGTCCTGTTTTTCATTCCTGATTGCCTCTCATAACTAATGTTGCTACCCTAGAGAATAATTATGCTTAATGGAACTACCTGCAAATGAATTAAATCAAAAAGAACTATGCAAGAGCAAATGCTAACCCTGGATAATTGACCGCCCGGGATTTCAGCCAATCAGTGCTTTAATTCGGCCCATTTTAGTTGTTTTTCTATCTTGTAAAAGCGTCAAACTGATGCAAGAAAATCATCACTGTCAATCAAACTGTGCAAAATCATCTTAAATATAACCAGCTTGTGTCCGTCTGCCTGTCTGACCATGGAACTACATAGGCTGTCCCAAAACAACTGAGAGTAAGTCTGTCTTTCAAAAACAATAATAGTTATTGAAACGCGGTTTGTGGGAGGTTGTAGCTCATATTCTTAGCTATCTAACGAGCCCAAGATTTGCTATTTTGGTCAAAATTTCGCTGAGTTACAGCAATTTTTTGGAGCCGTGTAAAATATAACCCTACAGGATTTTTGAGTATTTTTTTCCTTGTCTGAACTGTTGTTCCGCCGAGATCGCAACTTTGCGGATCACGTTGGCACTGGTCTAGATGCAAGTTCTAACATGTTTGCATGTGCTTTCATTGCATATCAGAGTTTTCTTCAACTTCCCAGCTCAGGGAAGCCAACATTGTCCAGCGTTAATGACACTTTCTTCCTCCGCCGCAGAAGTTGACGGCCGGCCGCCATGCGGAATCAAAGCTCCCGACTCGCGACCCTCGGAAAAAGCTGCATGCCACCGATAAATGGTGCTCTCCCCAAGTCGATTTTCTCCATAAGCAACTAATATCTCTTTCACGGTATCAGAGACAGTTAAACCTTGGTAAACACAGTAACGGATGGCATAGCGTTGCTCTTGTTTCAGCTCCGCGGGCGAACTCATTGCACCAAACGCGAGAACACGTGTCATTAACGCTAGACAATGTTGGCTTCACTGAGCTGAGAAGTTGAAGAAAACTCTGATATGCAATGAAAGCACATGCAAACATGTTAGAACTTGCATCTAGACCAGTGCCAACGTGATCCGCAAAGTTGCGATCTCGGAACAACAGTTCAGACAAGGAAAAAAATACTCAAAAATCCTGTAGGGTTATATTTTACACGGCTCCAAAAAATTGCTGTAACTCAGCGAAATTTTGACCAAAATAGCAAATCTTGGGCTCGTTGGATAGCTAAAGATATGAGCTACAACCTCCCACAAACCGCGTTTCAATATCTTTTATTATTTCTGAAATACAGACTTACTCTCAGTTGTTTTGGGACAGCCTATGTATGTGTGTAGGCTTTGCGGTTCGCATAGCTTCTTTGGATTTCATTATTTTGTAAATAGTTCTAGATGTAGCATAAAAATTTCTATTTTATCACTTTTAAATATGTGATCTATATGAGCATTTCCTTCAGTGGCAATTTCACAATTTGACAACATCGTTTTGCCTCCTTTAAATCCATTAAAAATATCGATATTAGGCGAGCTGAGCTTTCTCACCAAGAATTGATTGTTTTATACATAAAGATGGATCAAAAACAGTATTGCCAACTTTCAAGAATCGCCACTTCTTTCCTCCCTGTAATGAGTTCATTAAGGAATTCCTCAGTAAAAGGGTGTATGAAGCTTGCAATACTGACAAGATTGTACAAATTGTCACAGCACTGCAGCAAATAAAATTCACTCACAGGCGATTTACCTCCACACAATAGCAAGGAAAAATACATGAAAGACCTTACAGAATCCTTGCAGTATTAGAAGCCTCATGCACCCTTCTACCAAAGAAGTCCTCAATTTTTCTAAGTATGTGCAATTTCTTTCCCCCTCCCACCACTCAAGATTAAGACCAATTCATGTATTTGTTGTATTTAAACATTCTAAGATTCCAAGACTTATGAATGAAATTTTGTCAGAATTATGGAAGTAGACTCGCCGCTGTAAATCCTTAAATCATTACATGAAGGCAAGTTGTCAATATGATGTTGCAACGAAATATTTTTCTGGAAAAGAGATCACTAAAGTTCAAATTTTGTTTTTCTAGCCATGAGATTGCTGAAGATGCCAATTTGTCTGGTTGCTCATTTGGTGAAGAAGGCATTGACAGGTACATAATGGTGTACAAAAAAGAGAATCCACCATCAGAAGATGAACTAGCTGTCTTGCGAAGAGGAGAAGAATGGAATGAAGAGAAAGCAAAGGAATTAGCGAAGCAGGTATGATAGTTCATATAGCATTTATATTCAACTGATTTAAATTTTTATTTATTACATACCCAGCACTTAGCCTGGCCTAAAATTTGTAAATAGTGTCTCTGAGTGTAGGTACCAGGTGTACAAATAATGAATACATATATATCAGTACTTGACAGAGTGGGAAACTTATGAGGCAAATTAATTCTCATGTCCTCCATGCGTTGAAAATAACATGTATATTGACATAAATGTATCTCCTATTCTAATCATTTGAGTTGCATAACTTTTTGGCCCTAGGTTTGAAACAGCTTAAGAACATCTTGTTATTTCAAATTGTGTATCTAAAGGTCCTGGCCCCACCCTCTATTGTCCTTGACTTAAGCTGTGTGATCTTGTGATTTGTATTTTGTGAAAGTAACAACTACAATAGAAACAGAAAAATAAAAGTTCCTTAGAGGCTTTGTGCTATCATTGGGCTTTAGGTAATATGAAAACTTATCAACTTTCAGGTGCTGATTTTTCAAATACCTTGTAATTCTTACATGTGATTGCCTATGCTAAGACACCAAAGAAAACTAATTTTAAATCCACTCTGTTTTCCTCTTGATGTATCTAGGATTTTTTTTATTTCTTTGATTAATTGTGAATTTTTTTGTTCTTCAGCGAGAATTAGAAAAACAAGAAGAAGAGGCCGCCAAAATTCGGAAAAAAGAAAAATTTGTGCCTCAACATAACTATAAGGATAAATATGCACACTTGATTGGAACGGAGGCTGCTCTAGAGGCTGCAAAAAAGACAGAGACTAATAAGCAATACGGATTTGGTTGGTATTAATGGTTACTTGAGAAATTTTACACCATTGAGTATTGAGTACAAAATTAAATAAATGAATTACTATTATTGCTGAATATTGTGAAATCTTCGTGATTTTCGCCCAGGTTTTGAACAAGTTAGTTGTACCTCTAAGAAACCTTACCTTTTATTTTATAGAACTACATAATTTGGTTGGTGGTTTCAAACGTTATATTTATAGTAATGCCATCTCAAAATTTTAAGTAAATTTGTTTATTAAGAGATACCGATATAAATGTATATTGCATTTTTTTGCCGTGGAAATTTCTCCAGCCATCAAATTACCTTAAATTTCCATTGTTTTAATCTGATGATATGATTTTTCTTTCTAGTTCCTGCTGAAAACAAAAAAGACTCCCGGTCAATAGAACAAACTTTGGCAGATATACAATCCAAAAAGCGACTTAAAACAAGTCATGGAGACAGTAGTAGTGGAAGCGGTAACACCAATGAGCCGAAAGACTGAATTAATTGTTTTTTCCACCACAAGTGGTATGATTATCTCAATTGACATTACCTTTTTATTATGTATCTAAGAATTCAATCTCTCCTGGCTGGTTGGGTCTGCAGCGATTTCAAAGGAGTCTGTAAACCTACTAGGTATGGGAATATCTGTTAGATGAAATTGCCAAAATCTTGGTATCTTACTGAACCAAAATTCAACTCGAGAATCATGAATTTGTGTGTTGCTTTCAATATTTTTCTAACTATTACTCAGCTAAAATCAAGTTGCATATTGTCGGAGTTTAGTGTCAATAAATAAATGAGGCTCCATTGAAACAACATGAACAAAGTTTTGGTCAGATAGAGAGCTTTCAGCGAAATGGTTCGAGTTAAAAATAAAGTCATCAGTAGGCTGTAAAGCAGTCAAGAAGGATCAAAACACAGCCAGCCATTCCTTAAATCAAGGAATGTCTTTACACTTATTTATTAGTCAAAGATGGTCTTCAGTTTTTGTTCCTCTCAAATGAGTCGACAGAAAGATCGTACCTATTTGTAATTTCCTCCAGGAAATAAATACTCTTAAAGGAGTTAAACCTACATTATGCTGTGGTGTTATCTTCTCTCAACAAGTACATGCTACATACCTGTCTGGTTTTTCTGTTTTGTTTAGATGGCATGGTGTCTGTTTGATTTGTGGGTGTAGGATCTTTGATTCGTCATAGATTGCAACTCTACCATGATCACAAGCCAGTATTATGAAACTAGAAATATTTCAGTAAAATAGTTTCTTGCTCTACCGAATTGAAACAAGAATTCAAGTTTTTACTCAGTGGATATAATTGGCTGAAACTCATATTTCAATAAGGTGTACTGTAGCATGTGAAAAGATTTTACAGCACAATTTGTAAAAGTAGGCAGTGTTTAATATTGAATATTTCTTTTTAATCAATCAGACTTATGTACAGAAGTCACTCATTCTGAAAGGCATTGAATGCTTGATACTAAGTGTAGTCAAATATTTACAATTGCAGTGCTGATTTTTTTTCTTTTGCTCATTTAATGCACGAGGACTTAAGGCAATACTTTTTGAGAAACTAGTGTCAGATACCTCTACATCAGCTGGTTTTAAATTTGAAGCTATTGTTACAGTAGGTAACTCTTTTCACATGCAGTTAAGAAAAAAAATAAAAAATGATAAAAAAATAAAATCAATAATTATGTATTGTTTCTTCTACCTAAATCTCACATTTCTGTTTAAGAATCCTTTTAGACACTACTGTTTTTTTTTCCTTTTCTTTTTTGTTTGTAATTAAATTTCATTAGGTGCATTATGAAGGATTAAAGTAGCTATTTTGCTTTAAAAATCAGTTGTTCAGCACAAAACTCAAGGTACATGTCGATGGTGAAACTCCCAAACCATTTATTCCAGTTTGCAATGTTGATAATGACTGAAAGATCACGAAAATTTCGTAATTGCTGTTTTTGTGAATCGCTAATTTCTAACTTGATGTCTATTGACCTACATTTTAACACCCTAATCTATTAATTGTAGGCACGCTGCGGCGCGTGCTGCCGCGCGCTGCCATGCCAGCTCGAAATGCACACTGACGCCTACAAACCTAAAGGGATACTTCAAGCATTGCGCAATGCGTGAAGTATCCCCTTAGGTTTGTAGGCGTCAGTGCGCGTTTCGCGCTGGTAGCACTCCGCGCCGGCGCTCCCGATGCGGGCGGGTGGTGAACGATTGCGGGGAGAGCTCCCTGGCCGAGAAAATCGTAAGTCGTGTAATTTTTTTTTTTTTTAATTTTTTTAAATTTTCAACTTTTAAAATAAACACTGGTCGTGTGAAGTCCTAAGTGAGCTCTCAACGCTAGATGAATAAAGGCAGGTCGTGCGCCATGCGCGCTGCGGAGCGGCGTGAAATTCATGAAATTCTCCCTCTGTTCCATCTCCCGTTCCTGTTAAACTTTGAAATTCGCGGTAAAATCCTACTCATCCATCACTGACCAATCCAGACGCTCCGCCGTTGTCGTCAAAATCAGGGTCTAAACTGATAAGAGTGATAGGAGTGATATCATCGGAGATGAGATATCAACCGATGACATAACCTATCTCAAAGCCTGACATTTGTAACGGACTCGAAGCCGAAGAGGTGAAAAAAGAGACTTGCTTTGATTTGAAAACCTATTCGTGACTTGTGACTTACAATGCGATTGCGATTTATCAGTGTTGATTATAGAAATGGTTCATTAAGAGTATTTTGTCTGCTGTAAAAGTAAGCTGCTGCAGTTTTGCGATTCTTGGTTGCAGAGAGACCTGATTGCAAGGCTTCTTGCACTCTTAGTAAGTAGAAGCTGTCAGTACCTATGATCAAGGCAGAATTTTCAGTGCTATTCATCAAGAGAGGCCTTAAATATCATATCATTATCTGGTTGCGTTTCACTGCCCGTAACATACAACATTATCACTTGGTTTTAGACCAATCGTTCCTTGGAACCTCTTCTCGTAAAAATAGCTTGAAGCACACTGCACCTCTAGTCTCTCAAATTTTTTACTCAAAACTTCAAAGAAACTTGTGTGCATTTTCTACTGCTCTCTCCCCACATTGCTAAATGTGTCTATTGCATTGGACAGACAGATGTAAACAACCACAAAACTCATCTGACGCGCATTCTAATGAGTTTTCAGTCAGAGGAGGTCAATATCATGAAAAGAGCCTCAAGTAACTATTTACCAGGCAGTTGAACTCTACACTTACCTCAAGTGAAATATTTCTGTGAGGAAACATTGAATATCCAGGTATGATCATAATCCTCAAAGGCATTTCTATCACAACTGTCAGGAAAAAGACTCCCTGTGATTTTCTTTTTCACAACTAAGGAAGTTTTCTCTTGTTTTTTGTTTTTTTAGGCAAAGTTGATTCAAGAAGTAAAACTTCGAGCCAACCTTTTCACACTAGATTTAGCTCTCATGAGTACCCTCCACTAGAAGATATTTATCTGAGTTTGTCATTCCCTTGATCAACTACCCCAAGATGAGCGGGAGGAATAGAGCCATGTTCAGGAGAACAAATATGCAGTCCTTCCAGGGGCATTCCAATTTCAATGCAAATCATGCTCAGTTTTATGCACCTGAGGCAGAAATCCCCTCTTGTTTTGAAGAAGGGGAGGCAATGCAGGAGAACTGTTGGCCTCCGGAGTCACCAAGGACCATTGTGTTTGATGAAGGTGTCAGACGGTGGCCCTCCGAAGCACCGCAGGCTCCCTATCAGCCAAGCAATTCATCTAGGATGCCAGAATGGTCAGATGCAAGTTCACTTCATCACTGGTCCTCAGCGCATCATTGTTCCGCCGAATCTGCTGCAAAGGCTTTCCATCATGTCTCGAATAATTATCATCATCAGTGGTCCTTAAACCCATTTAGTCATTCTTCACGAAGTAACAATTTTTATGATTATATGAACATGCAGAAGGATGCCAAGCATCTGCTGCCGCCTGCTAATTACCACCAAAATTTTATGGGGGGGTCAGAATGTCGCTTACCTCAAGAATCTTTCAGAGCCTCCACGCTTATACAAGAGATACAAAGCTACCCAATGTCAAATCAGCCAATCAGACCTCACTCATCCCTAGAAGAGCCAGCATATCCTTCTTTCTCACAATCATTTAGGTTGTATGAGCGTTTTGTGGAAGGGCAAGCTCACTTTAAACCCCACCAGTCATTTGGAGTTTCGTCACAAGCCGAAGAACCGGTGCCTTTCCAAGATCAGTACCACTGGTCTGCAAAATCTGCAAGAAAATCTAGACCTTTAAATGTGCCCTCAGTTAATGGAATGCCTCAATCATCAGTGCCTCCCATATGCATTGCAGACAATCGGTTCGTTCATGCCCCTCCTAATGAAAAGAAAGGAAAAAAGGGGAAAAAAGGAAAAAAAGGATGTGCGAAAGGTGAGTTTATTCATTTCTTACTACCTTTTAATTTTTAAAAGACCCAGTTACCTTTCCAGTCATTGATATCTCAGCTGAATTTTTAAAGAGTTTTGCAAGTACGTAAAAACTATTTTTGAAAATGATATGACTTGTGAAAACTACTGACAATGCCAATGAAATTAAAATGACTTGTGATAATGTGAAATAACTAAACTAATCACTTAAGAATCATACATTCAAGCATTGATTTGTTTGCCTTAGTTATGCAAATATTATTTGAAGCTCAGAATAGGCCTTGACAGTTTTGTAGCAAGAAGGGGGAAAAACATTGCTTTTATTAGAAAGACACATGTAAAGTTCAATCAATAAATTCTTAGATTTTATAGCAGAAATTTTTGGTTTTCAAGCATGCAAAATTAACATCATCACTGCACAAATGAAACCCTGTGTCAGGATGTGGGAAGAAAAATTTATGAGAAAGAAGATGATACCTGTTGTAAATAAATCAGTCATTTTTTCTCAAATACACCCCTAATTAAAATAGAGAACATTAGTCCAATTTTTGTTTTTTCAAAATTATTTATAGTTAACTCATACTTAATGTGAGCGCGTTATAAAAAATCTTGATATTAACAAAGTTAATGTATTTTATGAAGGAATGTCTGTAAATCTCATCAAAATAATTTTATATAGTGGTCATACTGAACCTATTCTCATATCCGGTCTTAATCTATAATAAAAATATGCCCAAAAGAATGAGATGAAAAATCACATCTCTGAGAAGATAAAAAAAACCTATGCTTACCAATTCCAAGCATCTATAATATTAATGAAGTGGAAGTGCTAAAATAGTACATGATTACTTGCAAATTCAGCATTGGTGGTTTTGAATTTTGATGAATCTCAGAAATTTTCATTTATTTTTCAGGAGCCAATAAATTATGGGCCATTTGTGGAGTGAATGTCTGATAACTTTCATTATTCTGTTGACAATTTTTACTGATTGTTTCAGCTCAGAAAACGAAACCTGGAAGAAAGAAACAGACTCAGGTAACCATGGAGAGTGGGTTACCTCTCATGCTCCAGCAAAGGACTCCTAAACCTGTCTCAAGAAGAAAGTTAGGCCGGCTAAAATGGAGATTAAAAAAAAATCGCAACAAATGGATGCGCAAGCTGGAGGAAGGAATGTTATCAGATAACAAAAAAGACAAAGCTCTATTCAGGATCAATGCTTTGAATAATAGAATCGAAGACACCATGGCAAGAAAGACTCAGTTAAAGAGAGGTAAAAAGGTAAGGACGAAATCTTCAATTCTTGGATTATTTTTAGGCACTTGATCAGGGTGTTAAGCGAGCAAGAAAGGTAAGGAGAGGAAAAATATTACCGGGAGGTTTGCAAACTCCTGCACAAGATTAAGATTTTTTTCATTGACTCATGGCTTTAGATGAGTACTGAACCTGCAGTACTATCTCCCAGTCTGTTGTGAATTTTTCCCTCAGGAATTCGAGACCCCACCAATCTGGACGGTTACTTTGCATTGAGTTTTGTTTCTTTTTGCATTTCTTTTGATTTAGAAAAAAGGTTGGGGAAAATTAGGAGAAAGGAAAATCTGAGGGTCAGAAGAAAACCTATTAATTCAGGGAGAAGGGGAAAAAATTGTTAGAAACTCAGCCAATGTGGATAGCTATTAAGTAAATCTGTCTTAATCACTTTTAAAAAATAGATTTTACCAAGGCTTCAAAGCTCCACTCATTATTATTGGTAAATAGAATTTTCTATGTATTCATCAGAATCTCAAAATATTTTTTGATTTACCAAAACATTTTTTTTCAATCTTTTTATTCAACAGAGCAAGTTAAGAATTACAAATCATGCCTCACCAATTTGGATTTTTTACTACCAGTATGCTGAAAATCCACCTCCCCTCAAACAGCAACAACTCAACAAATTTCTGTATGCATTAATCATTTGTCCCTGGTCATATAGATAAAGAAAGGAATAAAATGCATACTGGTATTACTGGTATTCAATAATATTGAACAGAGTTTCGTAAAAGTGTATTCATACAGAGGATAGGTAAATTTTTTGCTGATAAAATAAAAAAAAAATTCATGAATATTAAAAACGAAATTTTTCCAACAAACCAAAACAACACCAACAAATGGACCAACAAGAGCCTGTAAAAAATCTACTTTCAAAAGAATAAAGGAGTTGCGAAAGAATGTTATTATCATAGTGAAACCCCGATTATTCAACAGGAATAGGTGGCTAGGATGTCAGATACTGAAAATGTTGGAAATTTGGATGTACTATCCGACTTGATTTCCGAACCTTAAACACACTTATTTTATAAATATAAGCAACAAATAAGAACGCAAATGAATTGTAAGGTGGTTTACTTAGTGTTGTTAAATTAAGAATTGTGTTATCTTGCGCTGCGATTTTCAAATTTTCGCAAGCTTTTTAATGATACGACAAATCTGACACATACAAAGGTCATTTTTCCATACTGCATATCCTAGTGAGAGGAAAATGAACCATTGCTACGTTGTCAGATAATGCAAATGTTGATTAATTGAGTGTGAGATAATCAGGGTTCCTCTATATTTAAAATTTTGCGGGTCGTTAAAAGTAACTTTACACCTATTACTTAAGTTCTGATATTTCTGTTTGAGCTTTTTAACCCTAATTATTTTTCTTCTCTCTGAAGCTCAAAAAAATAGCAGCAGCAAAAGCAGCAGCACAAGCACCAGCAGTAAAAGCAGGAACATCAGTAAAAATAGAAGCAGCAGTAAAAACAGAAGCAGCAGTAAAAACAGAAGCAGCAGTAAAAGTAGACGCAGCAGTAGCAGCAATAAAAATAGAAGCACCAGTAATAGCAATAAAAGTAGAAGCAGTCTGATCCCTGCCTACATCCTTTATTTGATCTGGTATTTTATCTTTCATTCATCTTGTTTATTCTACCAACGATCATATCAGTTATATGTATATATTTATATTTTTTTCTTCATTACGGATGGACCGGTTAAGATTAGTTCAAGAAGTGCAGCCTTAGGCTCAAGTTTTTTTAATTTACGAACTGCTCCTTTTTATTTTTCTATTTTCATCAGGAAATTTCAGTTTTTAGTTTCTGAATCAGTTACCTAGAATTGAAAACAGGAAAAAAAATTTGGGGAGTCCTATAATTTTTGATTAGCATGTATGTGTATGACTGATATGGTATCGTGTCTGATGATTTTCACCGGAAGAAAAAAGTTGATTTTAAATAACCATTTTGTATTTGTTTAAGTATATATTTATTTATCTATCTATTTGGTGCCCTGTAGCCAAAAGATGCTCTGGAGTCATTTATTTTTTAAAGTACAAAGTGAACTTTTGTTTTTATCCCAACTTTTTTAAAAGCGGCAAACGGGAGAAAAGTTCGCTTGAAAAAGCTAAAAAATTATTTTTTTAATACATTTAAAGATTAGATGTGTTTATAAGATTTTTACCTTTTTACTCACCTTCAACATTAAAAAGAATAGCAAAAATAACAACCTATTGAACTTAGAAGAGAACTATATAAAAACCACCCTACAGTATTGTGTATCATGGTAAGCTAGGCTCCTACAATTTTGGCAAACTTATCCTTGAATGTTCATGTGCCAAAATAATGTTCCAAGTAGAGAGGAGGTCAGCAAATCACTAAAGTACGTACGCTTTTTTATTTTTAAAATGAACTTGTATCAAAACCACCGTTTTTGGCTTATGTCCTTCTATCAAACAAGTCTTCAGCTAAGAAGAAAAAAAAAGTAATAAAAACCCTCCAGCTCCCCTTTTTTTGTATTAATGATTAATTTTTTGGAACCAACCCCCCCCCCCCCCCCCCCCCCCCCCCCCCCCCNACTAAACTTAGAATTCGACATCTCGTGGCGGAATCCAGCCATGATTATTCTGGGTTCTTTCAGTCTTTTTTTCTGCCTAGTCATCTTGATTGAATGGAGCAAATAATTTCTGTCACCTCTGTCCTGACTTATTCTGATTATGGTTTTCTTTTTTCATTTTTCTTTTTTGTCCTATATTCTGTTCATGCTGCCAAAGTCAAAATCTTTCCTCCCAGGAAGCTCCATCTGCAGGCAAACATAAAAATAAAAGTTAAATAAACAATCCTGAAAGGTTGAAAAAGATAGTACATCTCTCTGAACTTTTAATTTAAAGACTCATCCAAAGGTGGCAACCTTGTAGGGAAAAAGCCATCAGAACAATAATCGAGGAATAAAGGAAATGTACCATGTAGAAGGAAGAGGAAGTCAATTGTTTAAGGCAGATATGTATGAAGAAATAAAATATTAAAAAAAAATCTGTTTCTTTGGTAACACGATTTTGGATCAGCTGACTACCATAGGTACACACTAAGGAAAGGAATTGACACTCCAATCTGAGGAATAGTACTTTCTTGTTTGACACTGGATCTGTAGAGTCTAAGAATTCAATGTTATTTTTTTTTTAATTGTATTTCTTTGTGCTCAAGTTAAACTGTCATTTTTACCCTACGTTTTGTAGCCACTTCTCGTCCCAAGACAATATTTCAGTGCATTCAATTAATTAACATCACTCTGTGGATAATATTTAAATTATTTAGTTACATAGGTGAAAATGACAATATGGTTAGCAATTCGTATTGAAGAATATTCTGTGAATCTAGTGTGGTGAGGAAAAGTTTTTTGTGAAGCAACCTGACACCAAACTACTTGAATGAAATGGCTTTTAGTCCACTATTCTTCATAAATTTATTCTTTCATCGGTGAAAAATAAGTCCAAATTAATAAGTGTAGGGAAACCAGAGTCTCTCATGTCTATTATGGCTAAGAAATGGATTGGTTTTACAGTGGCAATCAAATGTAAAGAAGCGGTTGGTTCGTATGAAGGGGTCATCGATGAGGTCAATAGTATTAAGCAAACTCTGACACTGACTGAGGTCTTCAAAGATGGAAAACCATTCCATTGTTACAAATTAACAATCAAAGCTCATGATATTGATAGTGTAGTCATTATTAAAGATCCAAAACAAGTTAATCGCTACGATGCGCAGAAAAGTTTAAACAAGCAAACGCTAAGATATCCAGAACAGGCTCCAGTTAATAAATTAAAACAGTCTTTTATGGCTCCTAAATATACAAAAAAAAATTGTTTTTTCTTAGATAAAAGCGATCAAACTCATCAGAATCAATTCTGTGATAAAGATTTGGAGTGTTTCGGCTCGCACATCGATTCTCAGTTAGCAAGTGAAGCCTTTGATTTCCAAAAGAATTTGGCCTTATTTGATAAGGAATCTAGTAGAAAAGAATTTATTAGCAGTCATCATTCTGATGTCACAAAAAACCCAGGGATAATGGTGAAATGTCACACTGAGGAAAACCTCGGGCATCAACAGCAAATTGTCATTAATCCTACTGCTAATTCAGAAAAGTTCATCAACGGTGATAATTCCACCATCTCAAAATCAACAAACTTACCTTGTTTTGTGAGATATACTAAGTGTTCTCTCACTTCATTCAAGAATGATAATAAGCCAAGCACCACCAAACTTCGTCAAATAATGGTGAGGTCTCCAGGCATGAAAGAATATATTACTGATGATGGTTTGATTATCCCTAGTATAACGCCAGCACTGCGGCGTAGATTACTAGATATGGCTGAGGATCAGGGACTATCATTCGAGCGGCAAAATGAAATGATGGGTCGAGCTGCTTGCGAGCTAGTGTCACAACTACTCAACAAATCAACGAAGCTTAATATGTTCAACAATCAGCTGCAACGCGTTGTAGTCATGTGTGGCTCCCACAGACCAGGTGCAATAGGGATCAACTGTGCTAGGCAACTAGCCGCTCATGGTTTCAATGTGTTCGTCTACCTCATGGAACCATCAAAGTTCCTGATGCCAGTTGCGCATGAGTTAGCATTGTACAGACTTACAAACAACAATACCATCCTTAATTTTTCAGAGTTGCCCAATACTGGAGTCGGAATAATTGTTGTTGCTTTGGCAGATGAGCACACAGTGCGTCTTCCGGCCCCTGTCTCCCTTTGGATCCAACGAAATCAGGCGATTAGGCTATCTCTAGACCCTCCACCCAATGGAACTCCAAACCTTGAAGTTCACTACTCAATTCTTCCTGCGTTGCCTCTTACACACTCGCCAAGTAATGGACAGCTGTTTTTGGCAAACATCAATATTCCCCAGCAAATCTTCACCAATGTGGGAATTTACTATAAATCTCCATTTGGCTTGAAATCGACGATCTCATTGCACGACTACAGTCATAAACATTGAACTCATAGAGCAACTTACAAATTTTTATTTATTTTAAGTAAGTGGTGTCTATCATGCCGTCAAATTTCATTTTAATATAAATCTTTCAGTTTGATTTTTTCATTTTGGACACATCCATTCTGATCAGTTTTATATTTTGTACTTATGAAGTAGTATTAAATTTTATCAGGAACTGGTGTTATCAGGTATTGCAGTCAAAGGAAGAGAGTTGACATTGCATTTTTGACTCAAAGTTCTAAAACCACAGGATGTACAATATTGCATAGAAATATTTTCTAAGAAATGTCAGCTCTGTCAGTCAGGTTTGTGGCAATAATATTGAAATTTTAAAACTGCTGAGAACACAATTAAATAAAGATCCACGCATTATAACTTTTTATTATTCATTGTGAAGCACTGAACTGTTCTTGTATTTAGCATTGCATGTCACATTACCTGATGATATTGAGAAGAGAGTCTAATGAGTTTTTGAAGTAATGCGCCAATTTCGCCATAACATTGCAAGGTCACACTTATCTTTGCAACAATAAAAGAATAATGTTGACATCTTCACTCTTAAATGATGATGATTGATTTTGAATAAACAGAATTTTTACAGTAAGATAGAGAAAGCAAATCAAAGTTTTTCGATAGTCTTATCGGTGAAGTTTGAATTACAAGGGGACACTGTATCATTCCCTAACAAACATGTATTTAAAGTGAGTGCTCATACCGTATTTATGAAGATAATTATTTTGTGTATCATGAAATGTCTACACAAATGAAAATCTTTCTGAAGAGCTAGTTTTAGGGACTGATTTTGTATTGCATTATTTTTTCTCGAAAATTCTGAAGAGGAATATATCCTTAATGACTCTTGATTTGTAAGACCCTGTCTTATTGTCCATTATTTCTCAGACTTGAACGATTGACAGTTATTCCCAGGTGACAAATAGGGTTGTCCCAGTTGAAGGAGGAAATAGTTTTGTGATCACTGCTTTACCGAGCACCCAAGTTGATTACCGAGATGCTTAGTATGCTTAGTAGAACTTACAATTAGTATTAACGTCTGCCAAATGAAAGAAAAGTCAATGATCGAGTGCAGACTTTTAGTTCCTTTTGAAATCGCGAAGACTATTTTTTTCTTGCAAAATTATCTCTAACTCTAAGAACTCAAAAATCTTGATTCAACATTTCCTCGGATGTTTTGTTTTATTATTATTTTAAGAAAAGTTATCAACTTAATTTTTTTTTTAAGTTTATCAAATTTGTATCTTCCAATAAATTTCATGAAATCTTCAACATTTTTCTTAAAAAATTGTAATGTATTACGTGCCTCCACACAAACAATCAGCACCAGTCAATCTTCAAATAGACGTATTCATGTTGAAACAATTATTGACTTACCTCAGAATGGATTTTAAGTACAAAGTAAGAAATCCTGCCTCTTTCGTCAGGCAGGCTAATTCTGCAGGTTTTTTTATGATAAAGAAAAACTACAGCAACGTAGGACAGTTTAAAAAAAAGTAAATAAATTGATAAATCAATGAATAAAAAATAATGAAATTTAAGAAGAAGAAAAATTCTCTGTCGAGGAATTTTTGAATTTCCTCGAATTAATAGTGGTAGCAAAAATTAATAGTGAATTAAAGGCAATTGCCATGCGAGGTATGAATGATGAATCGAACAAAGCATAGGTTTCAATTGCAAGGTTTGAAATGAAGTTTTCAGAGAATATTCTTGTAAGAACGAAGAAGTATCAAACAAAATTGTAAGTAAGAATGATGATCAGGCCTTCCTAAAAAAAGTGTAATTTTCAAGAGATGAGCAACATCGCAATTAGAAATACACAATTGAGGCACTTATTTTTCAAAGTTTGCATTCGGGCGCAGGCTTTTTTTAGCCTCTGAAAACCCACTCCATGACCTAGGGTTTTGGCATAAAAGTTCTCGAAGTCTCTATATCATTGACTGCTGCAAACTCTATTGGTACATGCAGGAACTTAATCTCTGATGCACTCAATCCCTTTAATGTTAGTTTACCCTACTATTCCATACTGCCTTGTACCAAACACTCGAAGATCTAGGATTTAGAAGAAAAAACTATAGATCAGAACATATGAGCATCTGATGTGGCGATGGCTCCTGTCTTGTCTAGAAAATCTTATGAATAGTGCAAAGCAACTCTAATGGCAGAGATTTTCCAATTTTTCACTACCTATCTTTTTATTCCAGTAAAATAGGCACTTCTCTTGATGCTGCTCAGAAATTTTAAAGATACTCATTGATCATTTTATAATATCTCCCTCTTTTTCAATGTTGCCCATAAGAACTACTTATTATTGATATTTACTCTTAATTAATTTCATTTCTATTGCTCCTATCATTTACATAGCTCTTTTTTTATGGATTTTTATGGTAATGCAATTTTGTTAAAATTTGTTAAAGTGTAAAAAATAAAAACTAAAGTAATTATCCAACTTAATTTTATTTGCGGAACTACCATCCGTCCAAGAATTTACTGGCAGCACTGGGCAGTACTGCTCTATCACTAAAGAGAGGAGGAATGCCTAAATTTTCGAATAGAGCTACCTTGAAAATGCAATCAATCTACTTTAAATGAACTGTCAGATTCTATTAAAACATTAAAATTCGTTTCATTTGTGAGAAAAAAAAATAAATAAACCGAGCATTATGGAAAAGCGATTAGCATTCAAAAATTGACGCCTTTCAAGAAAACGGGGAAAACTAGGCAAAGTCAGGGAATTTGGGAAGGCCAGAGAATTGTTGACACATCTAATAATCACTAAAACAAATCACTGAGCCCCTAACTGTTTACCTCTGATCATTTTTAAGTATTGTCACCTTTTAACCAGCTACTGGATGTCTCTTTCCTTAATTTGATCTCTAAACAAGGCAATTCCGTCCAAAGTTTAGCGAAAGTCAGTGCATCGAAAAAAAAAGTGGAATTTTTGATGATCAAAAGTAAGGAGGAAAAATCATGCCTCAACTTCGTGCAACGTCGCACGGTGGATCGAGTCAATAGGAGAGGTCGGGCAAATTTAGAAACTGTAAACGCTTGCAACTCCGTTCATACAAAACTGGGAGGTTCTGAAAGTGGTTCCACTGGTTTTTTCGTGCAATTTTCTTCTAGGGACACCCCTTAACAGTTAAAATATGACGAAATCAACATCAAAATTTGCAGCTTTAGTAAAAAACTGCATGTCCGATCACTCTAATCAACTCGATCCACAGTGCGACGACGCATTAATGCAACGAGTGACATCCTCAAGCGTAAAAAATTGAAGACGCCCCGGTCTCTTGGAGGGTTGGAGGGCCAGGTTTGGATGCAACTATTCGTGTTCCTGGGATGTCCGTGTTGCATACCCAAAAAATTGCAGGCGCTTTGATTTTCTTGGACACAAGCAACACTAGCGCGGAGTACGGTATAGTCAGTTCTCTCGGGTTTTCTACGCTACCTTGACAGAAGATGTGTTTTCCATGAAATCTAAAATGAGCCAAGTCGCATCAAGGTAGCGTTGGTGCCAAATGGTGCACATTTTTTACGGAAAACATTCCCAGTAAGGCATCGCGAATGTCAAGGAAGTTTAGAAAGTCCTCGTGGACTTCATAGAATCCTACAAAATCGTCATTTAATCGCATTTACTTACTTTGCTAGTGGCCATGAGTGTTCGATAAGGCCAATCATTCCCTCTTTTCTTCACCTTTCCTCTAAAGAAAAGAAAGAAAGAAGCAGAAGAAAAAATTCCGAAAAAAACTACCGGTGACATTACTGCAATTTGCACCATTTTGTAACGCTACCTACCTATACGGGAATCATACGTTCGCGTCCGCAACCTAACTCGAGGTTTGAGTATATAATCAAATCTAGAAAAAAAGAAAAAAAAATAAGTAAAGTAATCGCTAGTAACGGTTTGCAACGTTGTATAGACTTTCTGTCATACTTTTTTTTTAAATGAAGAACTATACATCGTCAATTCCTAAAAACCTCCGTGTTTTTTCATCTCTGTGCGGAAAAACACTTCTATGACTATTGCAAGGAATGATAATTATTGATTTGGTCTCCTTCAGAAAAATAAAATTTGAGCAGATATTTTTTAAACACCGCAAAAGAGACACGTGGTCTGGTTGTTACCATGTTGGTATTCATTGAATTGGCGATCAAAGATGGATTAGCACCTTCGACTTTCTAATTGCGTTGTTGAAGTTTGACAAAACTTCCTCTCTGATACTCACAATCAGCCCTGGTAAAAATTGGCAGTAGAATCTGTGTTCCAAAATACCATAGACCTAAAGCCGGCTGTAAGATATCCAATAGCTTCTGTGGCCGGCTGTACAATTTCTTATAGCCTTTTATAGCCGATGGTGAATAAGCAACAGCCAGACGATAAAGTTTATGCTAAACGTTACTACGTACGAATACTAGGACTGAGTTAGTTTTTGGACTACCGCTCTCTTTTTGGGCCGTTGTATCTTGATTTATTTTGCGAGGCAAGCTCCGTACTTTTGAAGGATGCCTGTCATTCTAAATATGTTGGAGCGCCTTCAATTTCTTATGATACTGTGCAATACCTCTGGTGTGAAATAGTTGCCTCAGACACCGTGGCACGCTGCGGCGCGGCGGGCGGGCAGAGAGCGCGAAACGCGCATTGGCGCCTACAAACCTAACAGGGATACTTCGCGCATTGCGCAATGCGTGAAGTATCCCTGTTAGGTTTGTAGGCGCCAGTGCGTCGCCGCTCCGCTTTGTGCTGAGCTTAATATTTAATCTCGCGGAGTCAGCGTTTTTCAACTCATGGTTTTGAAATGTTTGCACACTCTGTATGGATTATTGTCATTTTAATCGATGAAAAAAAATATGTTTTAAAGGAAAATATAACGTGTGTTATTAAGGTAGTTCCATATCAAACTTAATTATTTCCAAAGCACACGAATTTCTACACAATTTCTTATAGCCTTATATAGCCAATGGCGATAAAGTGTAAAGTCCGGCGATAGGAACTATAGCCCGACTGTATACTTTTTTATAGCTTCGTATATAGCCCGGCTATATGATTTGCTCCGCTTTCTACAGCCAGCGATATGATTTTCAATAGCCTTCTTTAGTCGGCTATAAGAATTCCTATGGTATTTTGAAACGCAGCTCCTATTGCCAATTCTTACCAGGGAGTATTTTAACTTTCAAAAAAAGTTACATAGCTGAGAACAAAATGAGAGCACATAAGTACCGGAGCGGAAAATATGTGTGTATTTGCAATCAAGTTTTTATTTTATCTTTGAATTAACGGGCATAGAAAACACAAGTATTTAGTCTTTCTCTGAAGGATTGATTTTGGAAAATTTCAACTTTTCTTTTTAAGACTTGACGATTACGTCGAGTCTCGCAAATCTGACCTTCTCGAAATCTCAGTGACCCAGTAGGTACTTAATAGAGCCTGGTCTCATAGCTGAAACTCTAGTTGTACAACATACAAATACAATCATATTAGGTGAAGCGTGGAATGGAGATGTCGCATGTGTAGGGAATTTGCGATTTGCCTATTGATTCTTATGTAAAATTTCGCGAGAAGCACGATGGTGCCAGCACCATCTCTGAAAGCATCTGGCAGCTTCTCTGAAATCAACTCCCAAGCTCAAAAAAAGCGCTTAAGTTTAGGCCAAAATGGAGGGGATATCCTACTCTATCCTGAAAGTTCACCTCTACATCAAGACAAACTCTCCAGGCAAAGATAGGGAGCAAATACATTGACAGGGCTGCCAATTTATTTAGGGACTCTAAAACTGAAAACACGGCAACCCTGCCAATGTATTTGCTCCCTATCTTTGCACGGAGAGTTTGTCTTGATGTAGAGGTAGACTTCCAGGATAGCATGGGTTATCCCCTCAATTTTGGCCTCAACTTGCACGGCCAGATTTACCTACTTGCCGCCCATGGGCCGCCTGTCTTTTTCCAACCCCTTTCTCATTCGTTTTTAAACATCAATAAAAACCATCAAGTGAACGTGCTAGAGGGGGAGGGGTGCATAAGACGCGTTTACCTACTCGTGTTAGAAACGTTTTTTGCGAAGGCCCTATCAACACTACTAGCAAAATTTCACGGAACTTTGCGCGAAAGTTAAGTTCCGTAAACATATCTCTGTATGGACAAGGTCCTCAAGTAATGAGCCAAAAAATTATGAAAGAACAAACATAAATGTGGGTTAATAATGTTAACTTCCGTTGCCGCGCGCGCGCCGCGCTGACTGCTCTGTGTTTGGCGCAATGCGTGAAGTATTCCCACAGTCTTGTAGGCGCTATGCGTTTCACGCCAAACGCTCCTGACTCCTGACCGCACTGTGTTAGACGCAATGGGTGAAGTATTCATGAAGTTTTGTAGGCGCTAATATGTGTTACATGTCGACAGCCGCGCCGTGCCGAAGGCTTGTCCTTTTCATCTCAAGTCCTCGTCATCATTCCTCTCTACGCTGAGCTCCAGGCCAAATTACATGTTTAGTTCCTCTCTTAACTCGACTAATTAAAATTGCTGTCTCTTGTATCACCGAAAAACGACAAAATTAGAAAGTACTTTACTCTCAGGAAAGAGAGATTTTGTCCCCTTTTCTTATTGATAATTTTTTTTTTCTGAATCCAATTTTATTCATACCTACGTTTAAAAAAATTGCAAAATTTGCCGCCATGGGCCGCGGCCCATGTGGCCACCCTCGTAATCCCTCCCTGTCAACTTGAGAGCTTTTTTTGAGCTTGGGAGTTTATTTCAGAGAAAACCAGCGGCACCATCGTGTTTCTCGCAAACTTATACATAAGAATCAATAGTCAAATCGCAAATTCCTCGCACTTGCAACATCTCCACTCTAGGACTAGCAGGATGTAAAAAAAACTAAATCTTCAATTGTTTTATTTGTATTTTGTGTTTATTTTTTTGTCTCTGTAATTTGACATACTTAATTCATTCTGAAGGGCATTTTTACCAATAGGAAATGTAAATAAGAAAATAAAATATTATTCTCTGCTTTTTTTTCTCGCTGATTTTCCAAGCCGACATTTTTCAAAAAATAAGGGGAATCAAAACAAAACGTGAGCAAGCATCTGCTTTTGCACAGGTTTGACTCGTTTTCCATATCTGATTTATCCGAGCAGAACTTTCTTCATCATGTAACTATCTGTGCTCTCTCCTTGGATGGCAGAATTGCTGACTATACACTTAGAGGAGCATAAATACTGCAACAGAGGTACTTTATACTTTCCACAAAAGTCGACAAACTTGATATGTTCCACCCGGTTATCAAAGAATACTCCTGTGAACAAACAAAAAAACTTAATATGAATACTGCGAAGATCCCGATAATTTTCTGGAGATATTTCAATTTTCAATTTGAATAACATACGCTTGATTTTCATGAAATAGTGAATATTATTTCCTCTTGGAATTGCGAAGGAACAAGATGTCGCCGGGTGCATAGTGACTATTATCCCAACCTTGTTCACAACAGTAAATTGTCTTACCAGCAACCCGCAACCGCAACGGTTAAGCGGATGCGCAAAGGGCCAGATGCGAGGGAACCAGAGAGATCGAAACGCCTTCAATATAACGCACGCAACACGGACGTCCGTCAAACACGAATAGTTGCATCCGGCCGTTGTCGTCACTGTTCGTCCTTGTAAGTCGGATGAGACACTAACTGGATGTGATTTAAGGTGATTCGATGGACGCCATATTTTGTGTCAGAACGGCATATCGCATATACGGATATATCGCATCAATTGGTTCCGTATTTTCAGCTACTCGTCATTTTTCTCCTATTTTGAGATCGCAATTTTGTTGTCAGGAGTCTAAAGCACTCACTTACCAATTTTAACAAAGAAATTCAACGTAATAAAGGCGTGGTTTTTTCAGAGAGAAAATATCGCATTCGAGTGCAGTTTTGATATCAGTATCGAATGCGATGTTTTCTCTCTGAAAAAACCACGCCTTTATTAAGTTGAATTTCTTTGTTAAAATTGGTAAGTGAGTGCTTTAGACTCCTGACAACAGAAGTGCGATCTCAAAATAGGAGAAAAATGACGAGTAGCTGAAAATATGGAACAAATTGATGCGATATATCGTATGCCGTTATGACACAAAATATGGCGTCCATCGAATCACCTTAATCTATTCATGCTCTTTTTTCATCGAAACGTAGTAGTATTTTTTTTATTTTTTCTTTTTTCAAGGACATATTGTGTTACTTCTTAAGGACAATTATGATCGAGTCTTACATTGTGGAAAGGCCTCAAGTGCTGAAAATGATAATGCAGAGAGTAAGACAATTAGTTTTTTCCCTCCCCTCTCTTTCTCTCGCAAATCTTTTTAAGTTTTAAGTTCATCCGAATAATTCTGCGTAGGTAAGTGAAGGAAATTATTTAAGACTCAGTTGGGTCGTTTCAGAAAGGCTCACGCAATTGCGTATGATTATCTCTATAGGAAAGGATCATACTTCCAGCACTAACCAGAGGAGTCAAAATGAAAGAAAGAGGTCAAATTTTACACCAAAATTGAATTTTTGAAAGGAAGTGCATATGTTTGCTGTTGGTCGACGGGTAGTATACAGTTTTAGTTTTTCGCTGTGAAAAGGAGAGTGTCTGATACTCTTTTCTATATAAGAGTGAATCCATCTCGACTCCTTTTTTGTAACGGCAGCAAAGTTAATGACTTGAGTGATGTTAATAAATTTGACTGCCACATATTCCTCTGTTCAGATGTTGGTACCAATTATTACCTCGGTGCATTTTAAATGCACCGTCGCACAGTGGATCGAGTCAATAGGAGAGGTCGGACATAGTTTAATAACTTTAAAACAGCATAATATCTTCATTTATCTGAAATGTTGATGTTTTAAAAGTAGTTTCATTGGTTTTTTCGTAAAATTTTCTTGCAGTAGCACCCCTAAAAATTAAAATTGTGATGAGATAAACGTAAGATTTTACAATTTTTGTGAAATATTTTATTTCCGACTTCTTTCAGACTCGTTCCACTGTGCGTCGGGAGAGTATTTCTTTCTTTTTTTTCTTTTTTTTTCGGTCGAACCTCACAATCTGATTGTGGCAACAAACGATGATGGAACAATTTTAGTCAACAGTGAAATATAGCAACCCTGTCACTTTAATTTCTTTTTCCTTGCTTAGCCTTATTCAGATCAGCGACTTTCTTCATTTGAATCGTTCCGTCGTTTAGGTATCAAAATCGTATTTTTCCGCTCTCACGCTCTCAGACTTCAAAGCACCATACCCGTCGGTTTTCGAACCATCAAAATATTTGGAATATACAATCCCTTATAGCAGAATTTCTCGTTGGAAATAACGCAATGTTTAAAGTTTGATAGGCGCACAGTACGAATAAAAATTAGGCTTTAATTTTTCTAGGTGATTATTTTACCTCTGCATTTGGGATTGACGCAGTGGTGGGCGCTGTTGAGGTACTCGATGAGGTGGTTGGGCAGTCCTTCGTTTTTGTACTCCATGTTGTGTATTTTTATCGTGCGTGCTGCCAATTCCATTAGCGAAGGAGGGTTGTGAGTCATGTCCGCAACGAACCGAACGACCAATGGATTTTCTCGGAGACTCAACTGAAAAAAAAATAACACAGAATTTCAGACGAATGACGTTTACCCTAATGCAGTCGAAAGGCGAGAATGTGCTCGCCGATAGAGGGTCGAATCTTTCGGCCATACTCCTGTGGAAGAAAGAATTCAAGGTAGAAGTTTTAGCTCAGTCCAATTCCGAAACAGCGAAGCGGATTCTAGGTGGCGGTAGCCACTCCGGCCCAATCCTAAAAAACTACCCAAAAAAAAAAAAAAAAAAAAAAAAAAAAAATTATTGCACAGCAAAGAGCCCGGTAAAACCAGTTCTGCCAGAATCTCCAAGTAGATAGTTGATGAGGGTAGAACCTATGATTTGCCTGACAAATTAGTTTCAGAGCGAGCTAAAAAAACTCAAGTTTGCACAGTAGCTGGAACCTAAAAGGTTTTCTCAGTGTCGTTTATCCTCAACGCATCTTGCAGATTTTGGATGACACTTTTTTGTGTTCACTGCAAAAATTATTCATTTTGTAGTGGTCTGTCCACATTCAAGTATATCCCAGACCTATCTATCGCCCCCCCCCCCAAAAAAAATTGTACAAATGACGTGGCGTCAGTCTTCGATCGGAGGTCGGACCTGGGAGTGGCATTGCCGACGGCCGTGCTTCGATGGTTTTCATTCAAACGTCTTGCAAAACTTCTCTCATCATGACTGTTTTGTCATAGCATCATTGACTTGTAATCAATTCTCTCTTATACAGTCTTCCTTAGAAGTTCGTTGCGAGCATTTCTAAAAGTTCTTAAAACCACGAATTTCCTAGGAACTATTTACCAAAACTTCCATCCCTCTGCTTCTTCCAGAAGCTTATTAAGTAGGTATCATTCCTGAAAATTATAAGTGTCCCAAGAAAATGGTTCGGATCAAAGAACATTTCCAAAAAAAGAATCAGTTAGATAATTTTTTAAGATTTGAAAGTTAATTGTCTTAGAAATAAGGGGAGTTTTTCGGGGTAGGTGTGAGTTGACGCAGCAGCGAAGGGTCGGCGATTGTCTCATGAGGCAAATGTAAGATTTTAATTTCTGTTAGTCAACGTTTAAAAATAAGTGGAAAGCTGAACGTGAGACTTTAGATTATTAACTTAATTTCAAGTGGTTTCTCGAATCTCCAAGTTGTAACCAATCTAACAAGTGATAGGTAATTCACACGTTAATATCTAGCCTTTAATGTAATAAGTGGCGCGTTGCCGGTTTTTATGTCTCGTTTTTTTTAAAACGGTTAATCGAGAAGAAGTATGAGTGAGAAGTTTGAAAAGCCTACTTTTCTAAGATTCATTCTGTATAAGCGTGGCAGCGCAGTGTGAAACCAAGTAAAGAGCAAAATAAGTGAATCCATCATCTCTCACGTGGAGATCCCGCTCCTCCCCTAAGCTGACGACAGATAAAATCCCAGTCGTGCCGCTCTCTCACAATCTCAAAAGCAAAGCAGATAAAATTCAAGAAAGAGTGCCTCTTGATACCGCGGACACCAGGCTGCCGATCAGGCGGACGAACAGACTGAAAACGCAGCAATTTTATTTTAATGAAGCATCAAAAACTGATATCTCGCATATTAAACTTCAAGCGATAAAAATAACATTAATTTTGGGGAGACGAATAATCTTAAATTTCTACTGCGATAACCTGCATTTTTTTAAGGGTTGTATATCGTGTGTTATTGTTTCATGTAGGTATTAATCGGAAGTCATTTTTCAACGATATTTTATTGTGTTTGAAAAGTTTGTGATCAATGGTATTTTTTGCGAAATGAGGGAATTCAATTTTTTATTTTTCTCACTCTGAGACAGTCCGCATTTTGTATTTTTACTGCGTCGATACTGTTTCAAACATTTTAGAGCTATTCGTTTTTTTTAAAAAAAAAAGTATTTTTAAGAAGGTTTTGTAAATAATATTTAGGTCTTTATGAAGAAACTTTGTAATATTCCAGGAGTATCTCTTTTTAGAGCCTTTCTTCTGTAAAAAGAAAAAAAAAAAAAAAAAAAAAAATGGGTATCATTTCGTGGATTTCATGCCCATATTGTCGACAAAGGAGAACACCTCTTTTTTATCCGTGACCAGTTTTATCTGCAGTGACAGATATGTTATCATAATTAACTTTATGCAAGTGTATGTATTTTAAGACATGACATGTATCGGAGGCTAATTAACAGCAGTTATTGGAAACTCATATGATTGCGGACTTTTTAGACTTTGTTGCTAAGGCCAACGACAACCTAATGTCTCAACGTTTCTCCGGGGTTTTATTTTTTAAATATTATTTTTTTCAGATTCTGAACTGAAACATATAAATAGGATATCAGCCGAGCCAAGTGTAAGCATTATTTTTTGTAAAAGTGAGTTGCTAGCTTTGTGTTAAAAACGAGACCTTAAGAGCACAACCAAAAAAGTATTAAGCTAAGAAGCCTTAAAGGTTGTAAAAAAAGAAATATATCGCATATTACCTCTGAGAGGCACTTCAATGCGATGATTTCTGTGGGCAAGGCTCGCAGTCGATTCTTGTGAAGGAGCAAGGATTTCAACTTCTTAAGGTCTGCCACACTAGCGGGAAGATTTTCCAGTTGATTGTCACTGAGTATCAAAGCTTCCAAATCATTTAATGTGCCTACGCAGTCTGGTAATTCTGTCAGCCGATTGCCTCCAAGGTACAGAATTTTTAGTCTGAAAACAAATTCAAAGTAGAAGGAAAATAAATGGTGGGCATTAAAACAAAGATACACGGGTGCCGAAGCCGGGAAATGTTCTTGGAGCGCAGTTTCCAAACTCCAAACCTGGAACACTTCTTCTTCTGAAAAGAGCACCCAGAAGTGATGGTCTGGTTATCATAAAATCTTCATGCATGATAGCATTTGAGGATCTACCTCAACTAAACGAGTTTGTCAAGAGCCATAATTTAAGAAAATTGATTTAAATTCTCATTGAAGGACGAACTTTGGTCAGCTTTAGACACATACCTATTCATAAATGGCGCCTCAGCTTCGTATCATTTTTTTACCATCCCTTTCTGTTCAATCGTCTTCTCTCTTATCCCGTCACCGAAGATCGAATTGAATAATGCATCACGAAATCTAGTTCCTTTGAATGGCTTGATTATCCTTAGAAAATCATCCGGGGAAACTTACTGAATACGTAAAGTAATAAGTCATGTTCGGTAATCAAACAAGAAGAATTAGTTGTGAGCTCTGCAATTTTGCACTTTACGGGACTATTCAAGTGTTCACTCAATTTTCTCGTCAAAAATTATGTGACTGATTGAAAAAATTCATAAGACGAAATTTAAACTTTTTCTTTATATTTGAATATGTTTTCTCTCTTCCTCCGTAGGAATAAGAATCGGAAGATTTTGTAATTGACCTCATGGAGCTACTCTTGCATTAAAATTACTTGAATATCCTATTAATCGATCACTTTTTTAACATTTTTTCTGATTCACTTGTCAGAAGCATGGGCTGAACTAGGAAACCAAGAAATGAGAGGGATTTTGCTGAGTCCGTGCGTAACATATTTTTCGTCTTGAAAACTGGGATAGGATCAATTTTTCGGTGAGAACAGCTCAAAATTGCTCCTGAGACGACTCAATTTTTCAAATTTTTCCGGGGAAGGCCCCTTGGCCCCCTTTGAAGCTAGGAAAATTCCCCGAGCCATCTTACTGAGATAGTCCCGCAGACGCCCATAGTGGAGTATTTTTTGAAACCCCCCCCCACCCCACCACAAAAAGTACCTAGTCCCTAGTTGAGTGAGAGTCTTGCTAAAAATAATGTACCGCGAGGACCACTGAGGAACCCTTGATTTAAGCACATGTAGGTATTTTCTATAAACACACTTCTGTCGTTTTGGTTTGGGAGGAAAATGTAGGAGACGATTTATTGAAATGTGGACAATTGGACACGTGGCCTAGGTAAGAGGAAATATTAGAAAAAATATGGCGCACGTTCAGAACCAGATATTTCCGAATTCCACACCGCGCTCATAAGCTGCATGTATGAAAAATAATACTATTTTTAAGTTTTTTAAGTGCAGGAACTAAAAAATATGAATCTGCTTTCTTTCTGAATAACTGGGAGAGAAAAAAGGATTTAACAATAAATTATGAATCATCACAGCAAGCGAGGGTCCCAATTCATCCCTTCCTCCTGTAAATGCATGATCAAGTCAGTCCTTCAATTAAAAAGCCAGAGACGTGTCTAGTACTTCACCATATACATGCAATTTTAAAAAAAAATGGGGTATTTGTTTACCGTAAAACAAAACACACACAGCAATAGATAGAAAAGCATTCAGAATGCGTTTTTCAGCAATTTTTTTCCGGGAGCACCTCTTTTAGTTCAAGTCCCCCTCATCCAATAATGTGTTCAAATGACCCCATTGCACCTCCTAAATGAGGTTGAGGCAAAGGACTGCACATGTCCACTAAGTTACCTATACGAAACACCCTCAGAAAATATCACTTCGTAATATTTGGGTGTTCNGGGGGGGGGGGGGGGGCTTAGTTGACAAAACAGTGTTCTCGGCGCAATTATTTGTCTTCCTAAAGTGAACGGCAAAAAAAGGACTTTTTTTCACTGGAATAAAGCCTCATGGCATGCCCAGATGTGCAGTCTCGATCTGGCTTTAGGAATTCGGACGGAAAATCGATGACGACGTTGATTATCAAACTTTCTCGCCAATGAATTTTCATTGGCCATATCGATTGCCCATTGATCGGCAACTTTTCAATTTAAACAGTCTGTGTCATGAAGTGTATGCAATAAAAAACCTTAAACATGTAGTCCGCAAAGTCTAGCTATTAGTTCATGTTTCCGCAGAGTATAAAATGTTGCAAAAGGTTGCAATTAGTCTAGTTCCGATCCATTGAAAATTGTAGAGTAGTGTGTATGCTCGCGGCGCCATTTTGCCAATGTACCTATGAGACGACATCTAACACGACATCAAAGACTTACAGGCAATCAGACGTATTTCTGCCAAACGGAACTATGTGCATTAACACATGAGCCCTAAGGCCCATAAGTATATATGCATAACAGGGCTCGCGTCATAACGCACACAGTCCCGTTTGACAGAAATATATCCAATTATCTCAAGTGCGTCATCAAGATGGCATTTCGAAACGAGACCTCATCACCACGAGACCGAAGTTCGGGTGAGTGGCACTATTTCAGCTGGATCTCCGACGACTGTGGGAGTCTAGAAACATCCACTTTAAGTGACCAAATTTTTTCTACAAAATTAAAATAATTTCGGAATCTTGAAGAGGAAGTCATTCCCTTCCTCCTTAAATCGCACCCCTTTTAGTGACATGAGAGATGCGTATACCCTGAATTGAGAAGTCAAATATTCTTGTTTGCTGGTGATGTTCCCTTATATCCCTTTATCCCTATCCCGTTTCATTGCAATAACTCACTCTATAATACAAACTCATAAAATAGCGCATAACGCCTGAGGCTCGAAATGCTTAAGACTAAACCTATAAAACAACATTACTTACTGTTGCATAACACAGATTTTCCGTGGGAGTTCCTGGATCTGGTTACTTCCCAGGTACAAGTACTTGATGGACGGTACATCGAGGAGCTGATGGGGGAAGACGTCCAACCGGTTGCCGCTCATGTTGAAGGTTCTTAACTGGTTGAGGTTGGCGAGGCTCTTAGGGATGCCGCTGTTCTCGATCAGGTTGTTCTTGGCGACGAGGGTGGTCAAGGGGAACTTGGTGATGGCCTCTGGAAGCTCGGTCAACCGGTTGTTGCTCACGTTCAAGACCCGGAGGTTGGTGAAGCGGACGATGTTGAGAGGAATAACCTGAAGCACGTTGTGGTAGAGCAACATGGTTTCGATTTTTTCCGCCCGCTTTTCACCCTCATGGCAGATGTAGTCGAACTGGTGATGGAGAGCGTGAGAATCTAGAATCAAGTACGAGAAGTTGAGGGTCTTCGCAGAGGTGCAGCTGACTTCGCCATTGTCGCTGCTGTCCGAAGACGAGTCGTGCCGATTCATCTTTATGTGCAGCTCTTCCGACGTCCTCTCCGCGAGACAAATATAACGAGAAAGAAACTTCACAGAGGTTTTGTGAGAGATGCCCGAGCAAACACGGCACACGTATAAGCGACGTAGGGTTTGCTTACGTATCTAAAAAGAAAGATGGCGGACAAGGCCGTATATCGCGGTCAAAAGCTGAACGTCCGACTGGCCTCTGACGGCGGTTCTGAAATTTGACCTTGGTGAGACCTGGTGATACGAAGTGTTGAAAAATGTCAGGGGAAGCGCTTCGCACATCTAGCTTCTGAGAACACTAATGACGTGGGTGAAAATTTGTACGTGAGAATGCGACAAAGGCGTTGATAGTCTTAATACATGAGAGTAAGAAGGTGAGGAAAAAATGTACGGTAATTTAACACTGTTCACAGAAGTTTATCTGATCACAAGCTGTCGACAGACTAAGAGGAAAACTTGGAGAAACACAACGCGTAGATACATAAAGAGGACGAATACATGGCAAACAATCGGGCTTATTGATATTATAACTATCGCTCTTCCAATGTTCAATTTTTTGAAGTGGTCAGACTCTAAGTACTGTGTGCCTGAATAAATTTCGAGGTTGAAATGATACAAAAAAGAATTGCATTAAATTGACAAATTCCGCGGAAAATGAATGGGAATCGTATAGGTATTGAACGCGCTGAAAAATATGGTCGAACTTTTTACCCTAGTATCTATCTGAGATCAAATTTTTGCACAACGAGCAGACGAGGGCGGCAGACAAAGGGAGCACGTTTGAAGTACACGTCTGGGTGTTAAAGCCACTAAGCTAAGAGAGAGCCTCTCATGGAGACTCGTTTCCGCAGTAAGTAAATTTTGAGCCTGTAATAAGCTCTTATCTAAAAGATAACGTGCCCACGAATCTATCTAGCAAAACTTGGTATGGTGGAAACTTGATAAGCAGAACAGGTGTGGATCACCTCTCAACTTAGAAAACGTGAAGCTTAACTCTCACAAAATATAATTGCAAACAACTTTATGCTCTTCAAGTTTATACTGCCAGCCGTAATAAATCGCCTAATTAGATGTTACATTCCTCAATTTTTCTCGCCATTTTCTAACGATCATTTGTTGAAACAAACGATTAATAAAAAAATTAAGAAATTTCATTTTTATCTCATTCAAAATACTGCCAGCCGTAGTAAATCGCCTGATTAGATGCTACATTCCTCAATTTTTCTCGCCATTTTCTGACGAGCATTTGTTGAAACAAAGATCAATTAAAAATTTAGAAAGTTTATTTTTTGCTGAAATGCATGGGCTGCAGCTTACACTTCAAGCTATAGTTCGGTGATACGTTGCAATGAACTTTTGTCAAAAAATTTTACAATTTTTTGACTCCTAGTTAGTTACTAACGATACGCGGGAGAGGGGGTAATGTTACAGCCGCGAGATTGACCAGTGGCAAGGCATGAATGATCGAATATCGATTCCCATTTGAAGCTATGGTAAAAATCGATTATTAAGGTTTTCGTTGCAAACACCCTGTTAATCGACCCTTTTCCGTATGTTGGAATGGCAGACCAAACGATATTTTGCAAAGCACGCCACGCCACTGGGATTGGCATGTTATCCTCATCGCATTCTGCGTCGCAAAAGTAAGCATATGCTTGCATCGAAACATTGCAGCATTGCCAATGAAATAACTGTCTTCTCCACTGACAACAAAGAAAATTCATTTGCTTTTGACAAAATATCCTCAATTTTGATTTGAATAACGTCTACCGTTTTGGCATTGGGATAATTATTAAGAGAAATAGTGCATTTCCGCGTGTGGACCTTGGTTCCTTGGTTGCCCTCGTAAAAATTGGCGATAGGAGCTGCGTTTCAAAATACCATAAGAGTTCTTATGGCCGACTAAAGAAGGCCATAGAAAATCACATAGCTGGCTGTAGAAAGCGGAGCAAATCATATAGCAGGGTTATACGAAGCTATAAAAAAGTATACAGTCGGGCTATAGTTTCTATCGCCGGGCTTTACACTATTTATCGCCATTGGCTATAAAAAACTATAAGAAATTGTGTGGAAATTCGTGTGCTTTGGAAATCATTAAGTTTTTTATGGAACTACCTTAATGTTTACAAAAGACACATATTTTCCTTCAAAACACATTTTTTTTCATCAATTAAAATGAGAATAATCCATACAGAGTGTGCAAAAATTTCAGAATCATGTGTTGAAAAACGCTGACTCCGCGAGATTAAATATTAGAGCCCAACACAAAGCGGAGCGGCGACGCACTGGCGCCTACAAACCTAACAGGGATACTTCACGCATTGCGCAGTGCGTGAAGTATCCCTGTTAGGTTTGTAGGCGCGTTTCGCGCTGACTGCCCGCCCGCCGCGCCGCACGGTGGATCGAGTCAATGGGAGGGGTCGGTCATCGCGCATCACGCGTCTTATATTCTCTGATTACGGAGATTTCCAACCCTTAGAATAGATAAAACTACACTCATTTAATGTATTTTTCGTGGTAGATTCCAGTTTTGATCATTTTTCAGCCGAATAACGAGTTTTAATACGAGTTTGACACACTTTTTCTTAACTATTGAAAATGGGATCCTCGATAGCTGTTTTATCACGTTAGGTACTTTCGGCGAATGGGACCGTAAGCATCTTACGTAAGGAATAATTTTGCAGAACTTGACTCAATGACATTACTTGAGGAGTAAGGGAGGACGGCTTTACAGCCCCCTCACCACGAAGGTTGCCATATTTCTTTCAATTTCTGCTAACATCGTTTTTTGTCCATGTTAATTGGTTTCTCGCAATTGCATACTGACACATATACGGAACATTCTGATAATGTTCATTTTTCTTCTCTTTTCCTCCAGCCAGTCAATAGACGTTTTCATTTTTATGAACTCTCTACTCTTTCAGTTATTCAACAAATATGCATATTTCAAAAAATAGATCAATATATTAAAGAAATAAAAAAGAGACTATATACTGTAGCTTCTTTTTATCGAGTTATCCTAGAAAATTATTATAGGTACTTATCACCAGATAAAAAAATTGAAAGTGCAGAGAAAAAAAAATTATATTATCTTCCATTATTTCCTTTTGTTCCTCGATGTTTGGAGTGAAGTTTGAAACATATTTATTGAATAAATATTAAAATAGGAGGAAATTTACTTTTCATGCAAGTTCTGATCCTTTGAAGAACCTCTGAGAAAGACTATTGTCTCTTGAAGAAATTTCTTGTATTTCTTCTTTTTCAACCCACAACCAGTTTTTACTTTCTCCCTACCCTAGGGCAGAGAAAGTATTGCCATCCTCCAAGGAGGGGGGGGGGAGTTGAAATTTTATTTGTATGGAGCTCATGAAAGAGTTCTAGGTATGTTGAAGACATTTTGCAAGAAACGGGACTTGTGAAATATACAATGCGCAAAACGTACACCTTAAACTTTATCGCACAGTATAACGCTGATCGAATCAGCTTCAAAGAATAAGAGAAGGTTAATGTCTCGTCCAAAAATATCAACAAATAAGCCAAAATCAGTAATCAGTAGAAAAATTATCGAGATTGAAGGATATGGTGTGATGCACGATTTTTTTGGTGACAATAGAGCAAGATCGGATTTCCAGCAGGCGCGACTTCCTATCATTCACATGGACCGTTTTCGCAGATTAGCGGATATTAGCGGCTAATTATTACATAATATCATTCCTGATAGTGTACAGGAGGCAACCCAACAAAGGATTTTGCGGACACTTGTGGACATTTTCTTATCGAGCTATTTTAACATTTTTTTGGGCGTTTTTTTTAAAGCAAGCTTTGGAGGTGGTTTTGGTCCTCCTAAAAATATGCCAATGCACATTAATGATATACCAAAATGTTCCTTAAAGGGAGGAGAATAAGCATGTTTAATTGAAATTTTGATTTATCTGTCACAGAACTCATGCAAAAGCGAAATAAAACCTTGAGAATTAGACGGCAAATTTGATACCACCTGCAATGTCAGCTTTAGGCAACCCGCATGTCAAAGCGGAAGGGTTCAAAGATCCTAGAACCGTGGATACATTCATTTTGGAAGCTTAACTACTGGAAAACCAAGAAAAAATATTTAAAATCAGACTTTTTTTTTCGTCGCCCATGACCGACCTCTACCATTGACTCGATCCACCGTGCGCCGCGGCGAACCACGGCGCTTGAAGCAACTATTTCGCACCAGAGGTATTGCACTGTATCATACGAAATTGAAGGTGCTCCAACGTGTTAGGAATGACACGCATCCTTCAAAAGTACAGAGCTTTCCTCGCAAAATATATCAAGATTCCACGGCACAAAAAGAGAGCGGTAGTCCAAAAACTCACTAAGTCCTAGTATCCGTATTTAGTAACATTTAGCATACCTAAACTTTATCGTTTGGCTAATGCTTAATCGCCATCAGCTTTAAAAGGCTATCAGAAATTGTACAGCCGGCTACAGAAGTTATGGGAAATCTTACAGCCGGCTTTAAGTCTATGGTATTTTGGAACACAGATTCTACTGCCAATTTTTACCGGGGTTACTTGAATTTTTGAAAAGGCCAAGATTTCGCTCCAAAAGTGAAAAACTGGATGATTTTAAAAGTTTATCGTTGGCTTTTTAAGTCTATTGCTGGCATATGGGATCGATACACAATCCTCATAAGTCTGCTGTTATCAAATAATTTTCATTGTGCTCTTCAAATTCATGAGAGCACTTAGTTTGTTCCTTTCTTTCTCTTTTATTCCCTCTCTACTCTCTCATTTCCTCTCTGTAACTCACTCTTACATTGTGTATCTTTCATTTAGGATAATATAAACGTTTAACCTGCTTCAGTGTTTCTTATTCGTACTTTCTGTCAGGGATGAAGGACAGAAGAGGAAGAAGAAAGCTAAACATTATTTTCAACAAGTTTATTCGATTTTTTTTTGTTCATATTACAAAGTGACAATTAGAGAGAAAATTATTTTATTAATATTTACGTGTACAGTTTAAGGTGAAATCTCCGAAATCACATGCAGAACAAGTACCTGGTGCGATTGAAAGTAATAACTTTCATGTTGGACCCAATGACTTAATATTTGTAAATATGGAGGCACCAAATCAGTAGATACTCTCATAGTTTGAGGCTTACAGAGCGAATAGCTCGAAAAAAAATTCAACAAAATTTTGTGATTAATTTAATGAGAGATGAAGGAAATGACTTTACTCATTTCCACTTCATTTTTCTCGGCTTGTAACTTTTGAAGATACTTTCCAATAATCACTGCGCTGTTCTTTACAGCATGTAACAAACATTAGAAACGAACATTTTTACAAAAAAAAAACCATTCATATATACTTACAAAAAATATACTTAATTTACATTGTTGGTGGATGAATTTATGGCGCTTGGTGATTGATACATTTCCAAATTTCTTCCCAAATCAAAGTGCGCATCGCCCAAGTATGATATATTACTGTCTCTCGTACGCAAAAGGATGTATATAATTTGCCTCCATTTTTCTATATTGCTTCTCCACACTTTTGTCTTGGCATAAACTTAAATCTGTAAGGATGCATAGCAGCAAGAAAATGCACATATTGTACCCACAATCCGACAAAGCAACACAGAATCCGTTCTCCTTCAGCGGGCCGATTACTATTGAAATTGATCGACAAAGCTATAGACAAAGAAGACAAAAGGAATACGAAGGGATCCTATTGGTGGAACCAGGAGGTTGCAATGGACAAAGGAGGTAGGTTATAGTCTAACTAACGGCAACCCGCAAGAGACCCCATGGTTAGTCCATCAATTTTTCCCTCAGTCTATTAGAACCACCCATTTCAACCAATAGGCTCGTTTTATACTCCTTATGTTTTCTTTGTCTAGCGCTTTGTCTATATATTTCAAGAATCAGCACCAACTGCCCAACATTCACATCAAGGTCAAATTTACATTTATTACGCGCGCCCTTATCCACATGAACCAGTTAAATTTAGAGTCCCTTTATACTGAGAGTCAAGACAAAGTGAATCCATTTCTGATCGGTTCCCTATTTTAGGCCTTCGCAGTGTCACAAACGGGAATAAAGATTACATTCTCACCGATTGCAAAGATTATAATCTGGAATGGACCAGGGAACTACGGGTTCGGCAAGGAACAAAAGGAGTGAGAGAAGAAACGGAGAAAGGAATTTGAGAATGGGCCGATCAGAGATTACAAAAAACGTTCAATTTCTGTAATCTTTATTCCCGTTTGTGACTCCATGAGGGGGTGTTGTCTTGACTCTCAGTATAAAGGGACTCTAGTTGAATTGATCTGTTTACTTGGCCGTGAAAGCTGATGGCAGACCTTGTCTCACCCCCCATTTAAAGTGCCCGTTCTTGTCGGTCTTGACGTACGAAAAAACCGGGGCATGGATCTGAGCTCCGCCCTCCGTTTCTTCCGAGTCGGCATCTTCGTCGTCACTCCGCCTTTTATACGCCCACCTCTTGCCGCCCAATCCATCGACGCTCTGCCGCTTCTTCTGGAAGCTCCTCGTCCCCGGAGACCCGAAGAACTTGTAAGGAGGCACCAGAGACTCGGACTGACGCTTGGTGTGCTGCGGCGGCGTGCCGAAATCGCTCGGGGGTATCAGGAACCCGTTGTCGCGCACGGAGCCCTGCGGGACGAAAGAGTCGAACTGGCTGAACGGGGGCGGGGCCTTGGTCGTGAACGTCGCTTGGGATGCAGCCCCGAGGGACCCCAGATTCTTCGGCCCCAGGTTGCTGTTGAAGGAATTCACCGGCTGCTGTCTGAAACCGGGAGGTTCCAAACCGCTGGTGAACGGGTTGCTAGGTTGCGGGATGCCGTTGGATTTCGGCACCCCCCACACGATATCCGAGTGTGGGGCATGGTGGGGACTCTGAGGAGGGGGCCCGAAGGGTGACGTCGTGGGGAAGTTGTTGTGACCCTGGTTGTAGTCGGCGAACTGGTTATGGTTACTGAAACTCACGGGGGCGTTTTGACTAGCTGCGAAGGTTGGGTTGCTCGCTGGAAGACTAGAGGGCCGCCTGAAATTCGGGGGTGGCCCCAAGCTGTCTTCTAGGTGTCGCGAGGGAGCGGAATTCTCCACGGGCGGATTAAGGATCTCGCTTGCGTCGTAGCCGAGATCCCATTTCCCTCCCTCGTTTAGGAGGGTGGGTTGGAAGGGTTGATCAATGTGTATTCCATTGAGGTCACGCGACTGTGGACCGTGGCTCGGTGCCGGCGCTTGGAAGGAGGACGAGAAATGCGAGGCTGATCCGAATAAGTTTGAGAAGTCGGGGGTGGTTGTGGGTGGTGCGAAGGGTGGGGGTAGAGGAGCAGGGTTGAGCGTGTGAGAGGTGGGGTTGAAGGCTGGGGTTTGGACGTTAGGACTGGGTGGCGTTAGGTAGTCCACGAGACCATTTGGTGGGCCCTGGGGTTGGGTTAGATCCACGCTGTCGGCCAGGTTCGGCGTGAGATTCCCGTTGAAATCTGAGCGCTGTTCGCCTTGGTCGAGGGGTGGCCGCACGTGACCGACTAGAGGACCGAATACGTCATCCGCTCCCGAGAACTTGGCAAATGTGGAAGCAGGGTGGGTTTGTCGTTTATACCTATTCCCTGAAACAGAATGAAATAGCCAAGAGGGTAATTGGGGGAGTAAAAAAACCTCATATTTGGATACAAAAACGAGCAAATAAAATCCGCGAATTTTTCATTTTATCCGAGATTTCGAGACAAATCAAGAAAACTGCATTAGTTCCGGGAAATGTTTCCCGATAAGATTTTCATGGTTTGTTTCCTATGATAGCTATAATGAAAATCGAAACTTTATGAAAACGCACACATTCAGTGTGGGGTTGATGTTTTCCAGTATCACCATCAATTAAAATTTTACACCAAGCACAGAAATTTCAAAGAAACAAGTACAAAACTTTTTGCGAACTAGTGCATTATTATGTATTAGAAAATCGATTACAGAGTAACAAGAAAAACATAAGAGGGAGATAATTCCCTATCAAGTAGGTACCGGGGAAAAATCGTGCACTTAAAATCGTTGATTCGTTTGTATAAAATAGTGGTCAAAGGCATATTGAACAATTTATTTGATTCATGCTCTCAGATTTAAAGAGGTATGTCAACACAGCATGTAAATTACACCCACAGTCTCGATTGCAGCTCAACTGCGCCAAAACAAATACAGTGCAACGTTTAAAAGACGGAACCATCATAGTTGTCCTCTGCTCCAATGCAAGTTTAAGCACTTGTTTTCTCTCTTTCTTTTTATTTTAAACGAGAGTTGTGCGTAATTTTTCTAGAATTATTTCGTTTCCAACCTCGTAAGCGCTGTCTCCACTCGTCAATATGGCGTCAAAATGGAAGCTCAAAGTGAATCAATTTCGTCGATGAGTGGCACTAAGTCGGGACTTGATGAAATTGATGAGAGTTGCAGCTCAAAATAGAGCGGCGCGAATCTTTTTTGATCAACAATCGCGAACAGATCATTTTTGTCGATTCACTTTGAGCTTCCGTTTTGACAAGAGGACACAGGGTTTTACGTTCACTTTTCACCGGTCATCCTCAAGATGCATCCGACTGAAAACATTTTATTGCAGACTGATTTTACGTCCAAAGCGCTCCTCGCAGCGCTGAGCGATAACTATTCGGGCTCAGCCGTATTGCGGTTTTGCATACTCATCGTTTTGAAGGAAATTTTTGTTGGAGCCGCATCACTCGTCCTAAGTTCTGTGATATAATGAACGATCTTTTTTCGAAAAATCTGTACCGCGCAGATTTGAGCCAGATAACTTAAAATGTGATTATTTTATTAATGTTTTTCCACGCGAGAGGTCATGACCGCGGTCGCTGCACGGACCAACCTCTTGCAAAAGGTTCGTGTCGTTCATACTCACGAATGCATTATACTGCTAGTCTCCTCTTTCTCATTTTTTCAATCTGTTACATAATGTGAAAGGTTTACATATAGATTGTATTTTGTAAAAAGGAACCAGAGGCATTGCAATGGTGCTAAGATTGTGCAACTTTATCCTTCGGAATAAAACTACTGAAACCATGAAAGAATATGAAATATACATGATAATTTTTGTCTTAAAACAGTTTTCAGCGAGTAAAATAGGAACTGTTCGTGGATAATCGGGTTTTTCTTCCAAGACAAAAAAATATGTACAATTTTAGCAACATTGCAATGCTCCTGGCTCCTTTTTGCAAAATGCAGTCCATATGATCTGAGTGCATAGGGTTGTTCATCAATTTTGTCGTCGAGTTTTCCCAGATGCACCGCACGCAAAAATTCGACGACTCCGTCGAATCCAATCCAATCGCCTACTGCTGGTAATCGAATCGTCAATTGATGCCAAAATGAAGACATTGTTGACAACCATTTTTCCGCGCATGCATTAAGTATCTAATTACTTGTACGCACCAGATAGTTCTTGGCTGTTCCTGTAAATGGCATCCTCCAGTATGTAAATGTTCGACTCTCCGTTCCTCATGCATAGGCAAAGACTTAGGGCGAAAAATATCTGCAACAAGTTGGAAAAGTAAAATGAAGCGGAGACTTACCAGCGAGCAGAATTTTGAGGAGGATTCATGTTTAAAAACTAATTGATGGTGAAACCACAGAACAGCGTATCTCAGTTGCAGTGTTTCAAAATCTCCGTTCTTATTTTATTTTTTTTCAAAGGAGACTGTATCAACAGCATGACTTAGAATTTCACGGAATTTTTTTCACTTAGAGGAGCAAAATCACCGAAGTTTTCGAGAAAATACGTCTGGGTAGTTTTCTGGGCAATAATGTATGACAGGAATTCTGCAACGCCGCAAACCGAGATACGCATTTCTGCAGTTTCACTATCGTTATAGATTAAATAGCTCGATCACAGACAATTAGATTATCATTTTATTTGGCTACAAGTAAAATGAATGAAAACCGGCAGCCTGATTGTTGAAACTTTAACTGGCTTTGTATTTATCGATTTTCGATTCTTGTCGCGCCGACATAAATTTCAAGAATCCGGCTGTGTATAACCGGGTGTATGCGTTGAACAGGTAAATATATTGTGAAGTTACTAGCTTACAGTTTCCTTATATCTGGAGCTTCTGTCCAGTGAATCTTAGGGCCAGATTTTTTAAAAATGTTATTTTTAAACGGTTATTTTTAGCCGCATTTCAGCGCACCAAGGTGCTCTACGACTCCCAATCGTCATGGAAATCTATCACCCCACGGATCACTAGGTAAATGACACGATTCTGATTTCTTCCTTTAATCCCTGCCGCTAACCTGTTACTGGACACCTACGCCACCCTACTTTAGGAACCCAATGGATCATTTTTTTGAGCAACCGACCGTCCACCATCCTTCATACATGCTCCTACCAAAACCAGTTGCTTGGTTTTGATATTGTGCATATGGCCGTTCTGAACCCCTATTATTTCACGCACTATCGTTCATTACGATTAAAAAGGCAATGCGTGAATGATCGATTATCGATATTTTCTCATTGGAAGCTATGGTTAAGTATCCATTATTAAGGTGCTCGTTGTGAAAAACCTGTCTATCGATCCTTTTCTGTAGGTTTAAATGACAGATCAATCGATATATCGCAGAGCACGCCACCGGCCACGCCACTGATTACGAAGGAATTGTCACCGTAAGATCCTCGTATATCTTTGACATAGTTCATTCCGGTTGACCTCAGGATTTCTTTGGATCTTTTTTTTGACTGCCTTCATATTTTATAGTTACTTTTTTTACTATCCTTGTTCCTTGTGTTTAAAGGTATCCCTTAAAAATTCAAACGTGCGGGGTCCTCCTTCAGGGGTGAAGGCTTTGTGTCAATAAGGGATGAGTTAGATTTAAGGGCGGCGGAAGATCCTCCGGGATCGTGCGGGTTCCTCCTTCAGGGGTGAAGGCTTTGTGTCAATAAGGGATGAGTTAGATTTAAGGGCGGCGGAAGACCCTCCGGGATCGTGCGTGCCTTGGGGCACAGTCGGGGCTGATGATCTAACTGACAACACGCATTTAATCATATCCATTAATACATTGACCATTGAGATCATTCCCGTAAGAAAAATTCGCTGCTACTGGTATTATTATCATCAACTGTGAGGCACTCAGGAGAGCTGCGTACTTCTAGAATTTGCACGAAAAAAGATGAGGAGATGACGTTGATTTTCCCAAAGGCAACAAGAGGGGAAGTTTTAATATAAGTGGATGTTCTGCGTGTGAGGGAGTTATGGTTCCACATCAAAGCAAACCTAATCAGAGCGTTGGTAAGATTGTTCAGTTTGTCTGGGAGAGAGGAGGTGCTGCTGCGGAGAGATATGGGACGATTGGGGGCCACTTTGATGCCCTTCAGCACCTAGATTGTAGAATTGTTACTACATGACCTTGATCGAAAAACCCCATTCTTAGGGGCTTTTTTCCCCTTTCTTTCTACTCTTTGATCAAGGTCATTTAATAACGATTCAATAATCTGATCACAGACGCCCATAATCCCGTATACCTATGTTAGAGAATTTTTAAGCCGACAGGAGTTTCTAAAGTAGGTCACTGGCACCCTTGAATACCTCAGAAAGTAGTAATAGTTTAATTATCCTTGATCAGCCGGAAATCTCGTCGGGAAAACTGGATACCTTCGGAGGGGTTTCGCGCTAGAGTCCAAACTCCGTGATTAAGTCCCGATTGCTCCTCGATAGTCGATATGCTCCCATCTTTTTACAATGGAAAAAAACGCTCCGTAATCTTGGTAACTCCCTACTGTGACTTAATTGCTGAGTTGAAGCTAACTCTCTCATATAGGTGGGAAGACCGCTCGGGTTATCAATTATTTGTACCAGCCCTCACACAATATTGACGATCGTTTCCCAGGTAATCCCGGATGATGGAATGAAAGAAAAGAATAAAATAAACAAATTTTACAAGAATTCCTATAAATTTGATAGATATTAAACTGCAATTGAAAAGAGAGCAGACATGGAGACCGTCAGTAAATCATACGTGCATCGAAATTCTTCTACGCGCCTGAAATAGGGTGGAAGCGCGCATGGATGACATCTGCGCGATTGAAAATTTGCCACCGAACTTTGAAACAAGCGAGACATCTCAGAAGTTCAGAAATTCACAATGCGTTAAGTACTCTTACATTCCTCTTATGGGCGCTAATGCTTTTCGGGCCAACCAGCGATCGCACTGTGATAGGCGCAATGCGTGAAGTATTCCTGCACTCTTGTAGGCGCTAATATGCGTCTGGCGCCGACCAGCGCAGCGCAGCGACCGCAATGTGTTTGGCGCAATGCGTGAAGAATCCCTGCAGTCTTGTAGGCGCTAATAAGCGAGTCCTAATATGCTTATTTGCTGTTGCACTATGTTTGGCGAGGTTAGAAACGATGATACAGCATTATTAGATTTGAAAGAAACTGTAGAAACAGAGCAGAGGAGAGATAATGAGTTTAAAGAATGGCTGGGTGAAATTGATGAAACGATTCGTGCGAATAATGAGTATCAAAAATCATATGAAAATAAAAAGCAGAAGCCATTGCGAGTAAAATTTCACTCGTGAAATAGAAACTTACATGAGAGGAAAAAATTTTGACGTAAAGAGACAACCTTTATTTTGCCACCTAGGAATTGCACTGAGGAGTTTGAAAAGGAAATGAGGGCAGATTTTCGGAAACAAGTGAATAAGTTCTCACCTAATAATGTAAAACTAGAGACTGAACGTCTAGAAACAGCAAGTTAGAGACAATAATTTTATCTCAATTGGACTACATTTTACCATAAGAATTTATTAATCTCTGGCTTTTCCTTAGAATATTTAGACTTGTAGTTTTAAAGAAATCCTTAGTCATATAATTGTATTGATTTCTGCCCTTATCAAGCCATAGTCCATTCATTTGTCTTCGGAGCTTTTTCGTAGCAAGAAAACGAATATATTCGACTCCAATCTCTCGGATCCAAATAGTCCATGATGAACGAAAGTCGTTTTATGGCCTTGGTCAAAACTATAGCTACTTGGTCTTATCATTTACGTCCGCAACACATTATCATAGATTGCTTCTATTTATTTATTTATTTATTTATTGATAATTTATAAATGAGTAGGTATTTGCTCGAGCACGTAACTTCCTCTCTGTCTAAGCAGACAAATTCAAAGTGGAATATAATTGCTCTCCTTCACCTCTTCCTCTCTCCCGGAATAGGAGGAAGGAAACCGAGGAAAAGAACTCCAGCTGGGAGTCCGGATATCATAGAGAGCAGAAAAGTTGCGTAAGGTAGTGAGAACGGTGATTCAAACGAAAACCGAAGATACTAGAGAATTCTATTTTTGGCAGAACTAGTCGCAGTATTCATTGTGAAACTGAAAAAAAAATTCTTCCTCTCAAAATCCTCAAAAATGACTCCCTGAATATCTCTCTTTCCCTGAAAATATTCTATTATCTATGCTGTTAACAGGTGAGCTGAGAGAACATTCGCCCTTGCTGGGATAAAAATAAATAGAACTTAATGACGAGGTCTTCTCGTTGAAGTCTTTGGAGGGTGATTTGAAAGTTAAATATGAGAGCGTATTGGAAAAATCCTCACAGAATGTTTGTTCCAAGTGGCATTGATGAACTTTTGAGATGGATTTTGTGAAATGCCTGCATCAATGTTAATTTTTAATTTTATCGCATGAAAATTTTATTTAAGTAAACGTGGGATGTTTGTTTTGGCATCTCAAACTTAGCAATCGCAAATGAGTATCATTTGCATTAATGAAATTTTGCACAAGCTCTGATTATGAGTTAAAGTCCCTTATGCTTTTTACCCTGTATTATTATTTTGTTGTTCCAAAGTGACTATCAAACTCGTATGCACAGAACTGAGCGATGCTATAAAAAATCAAATTGGTGACAATTGCTAAGTAGAGACAAGAGACACCTATATCATTCCAACATCGTTTTTAATTCATTTCCCGATTTTTCGAAAATCATCACTTATATTTTACATACCGAGCAAAAAGTGTTCACCGGTGTGTTTGATTTCTCAAACAATTGGCCGTTTCATTTTGCGTGATCGGGTCACTTTAAAGTAGCGAGGAGTGGGCAAGGACAGTTTTTATGCGCTAAATAACTTAGCCATTCTTCATTTCTGTATTCTTTGTTTAAAGTATACTGTCTACTGATATTTTTGAAACATTGGAAAGGGTTTAGACACTTGAGATATTGGCAATGAGGAAAAAACCTAAAAAATTATATGTTTATTTTTTTTTCATTTCCAAAATTCCCAATGCGTATTTTAAAAACACGATTGTTCTTAATGGTTATTCTTTACCTTTCATCGGGAGAAACCATTTTTCCCCATTAAAACTACATGAGGATGATATAAGCCCTTTACAAAATTATGGAATATTTTTTTGGACTACTCTTGACAGACTTCTGATACAGACATCGACAATTCCTGAAAATCTCTTCCTCACTTCCCTCTTAATTTACAGTGACAACTTCAGCGCACAGCGACGATCAAACATTCTGGGCACTTATTAAAGGTTTACATTTTATTTTATCTGATAAGAACCTTAAGCAAGATAAAAGTTGATGTGTGCATACCGCAACAGGAAACCAGTATCTTTGTGTATTTAATTCAGAAACTTTCTAGGGGTTTACCCCCTTTCTTTCAGTTGCGAGTTCCTCTTTAATCACGCACTGAAAAATCTGAGAGGAGGGTAAACTGTTGACTTGGGCCGCGCGAGTGGTTTAGGAGCGTAATGTCATTTTCACCTTTTGTAAGTTAATTTTAATTCACTAAGTAACAACATCCACAAATTACACTGACAATGCTCAGCATATTTTCGTACGGCCGGTCGCGATGAGAAAATTTCAGCTGAAACTTCAAAAAGCACAGTATCTAATCCCGATGGTTTTTCTACCGCTGTGGGTGCGCGTTTCTCACACAAAAAGCAGGGACAATGAGCGTGTTTTTTCATAACTGACAGCTTTTTTTAAAAACAATTTCCATACGTAATCAAAGATTAGCTTTTCCTTGTCAAGTTTTACGAAGTGTTTTCATCCTCTTGAAGTCATCAATAGAGTTTTATTTCAAAACATTTTCCTGTCGTAGCTGAACCGAGTTTATCAAAAATACACCAAGCCGCATTTTGAGGAAAAATGAGTGAGGAGTAGTTCCGAATTCCCTGAGTCGTAAAATTCTCTCCTGTCAGGAATTCAAAGCGGGGAAAAAATATTTTGAAACTTAAAATAGGCATTTAACTTACTGTTATTAACATTAAGTCTCATGGAGGAATGAAACTTCAAACCTCTTTTTTTCGTTCAAATTTGATGTGACTTGGTGTGCTCAAACCCCGTTTACTTGATCACTCACTATCACTAGTAATAAAAAAAATGAATATTCTTGAAAAATTAATGATTTTACTATTTCATAGGGAGTAAGATACTATGGTATTATATCAATCATCACTGTGTGCAGGACAAATGAAGAAGATTTTTTCAGCAGGGATTTTTGAGGCCAAACATGTACACGAAAGAATACTCACGTGTTTTGGGTAATCCATTTTCACGAAATAAAAACACTAAGAAGTAAGGAGTCACACTAGCACTACAGGGTTACAAACCCAAACACTGGATTGCTAAAACTACAACTTTTAATTCCAAACTAAGTGCTCGATTCGCGAGCTGCAACTTAAACTAGGACTGCAAGTGCACATTTGAGGAGTGTCTTTTTCAAAGGCGACGACTGCCCTCCGCGGGGCATCTCAGCGGTGCGTTTGTGTCATCGGACGTTCACGTGCGACACTGTCACGGCGGACCCCGCGTTTACGTATTTTGTTACGCCTTTTTGAAAGTGTTCTGTAATTGTACACCGCGTGTGTCGCGATCGGGCTCCATCGCTCATCATCCAACGGAATACCCCGGAGAAATCGAAACCGAAACCGATGGACCCGCTCGAGCTCCGACCGGTTGCCACGGTGATCGTCGAAAAAGAAAGTGTTTGTTTTTCTTTTTCGTGAGGAAGGGCGACGCGACAAGGTAGCCCCCCCCCCCCCGCCCCCGACCGTCGCCCATCCCCCCGCGTTCACGTCGCGACTGTACTTCCTACCGAGCGCACAGCATGGTCTTTGCGAGGATGCCAACTGCGTTTGTAACGCACCTTGAAGGATGACGTCATATATCTAGGAAGAATCGCTGGTTGCTTAGACTCACAGCGCTCCTGTCTTCAAAAAACGAAATTTTTAAGCTAATTGGCCAATTTTTTCCCGAGAAATATTTCTGGCCGAGCAAAAAAAAAAAAAAAAAAAAAAAAAGCGTAGGCGAGGTCAGAGCAATCCTTTGGGGGTAACCAGGCTTTCCAGTAGGGGTCTGCTTCTTCCAAAACAAAAGGGTTTTTTTTTTTGGGGGGGGGGAGGTCTCCTTTGGCAAATATTTGGGAAATTGACCTTTCTTGTATTCTAAGGATACTTATTTGTGGCAAACTTAGTCGAGTGCAAACATGGTTCAACTCCAGCAATAGTCCGCGAAAAACCGTGCCTACCTTTTTCCTTTTTCCCTATCGCATCATGCAGTGAGAATTTATCGGTTCGGAAGCTATTTTCAAACGTGGAGATTTTCCGGGGGAGGGCACCAGATGATACTATTTCAAATTCTAAGGGGTAGGCCGGCCCACCCTGGTCCCTTAAGAACTACCCTAGTAGCAGAACAAATTTTTGTTTTTCTAAAAAAAGTATAAAAAAAACACATCTGTTATCTAAATGATCGTTTTATATAAAAAACGTTTAACGCTTATATAAAAAAAAATCAAAGTTCAGACCTGACCGTAATCTATGAAAAATGATAAAAGCTAGATAAGGTATTTTTTTTTTATACACACATTTTTTATTTTTTTATATAACGCATGCATACGAAAGTGTTAAAAGTGAACATTTTTATGTAACGATTATATAAAAAAATAGGTCATCATTTTCGTGAGCTTTTCGCGAATTAGAAGAATTTTTAGTATGTTCGCGAAAAGCTCACGAAAATTATAACATTTTTTTGTATAATGGTTACATAAAAATGTTCACTTTTAACACTTTTGTATGCATGCATTATATAAAAAAAATTAACTTTCGTACATAATATTTATCTTTTTCTTCTGTGGTTCTGCTACTAGGGTACGCCTATGGGGGAAAGGGGCCCCTAATCCAAAGTAGCAATCTTTGTGGAAGAGCGATTTTAATCCAGTCAGGTCGAAATATCAGTATTCGTGTTTCAATTTATTTTGGTTTGAATAGAGGACGTAAGGTTGTATTAGAATAGGATAATTTTGGGTCTCAAGCAGGCAGATTTATACTCATACAGAAACTGTGAACATACTGATCTCATACTGAAAAAAAGTCGTGAAAACCCATGTCACAACCTTTTTCCACAGATATTCCATCTCAATACGCTTAATCTTAAAGAGAATTCTCTTATAGTAGCCTAATAATAGCTGCATCTTACGCTCAAGATGCAAATCCTTACCCCGGCACCTTTTTTGTGGAACAATTTCAACGCTTTTTCGTTGAGTACCAAATTGTACGAAGAGAATTTGAAACAATGTATGGAGACTTGACTCAGGCATCTCTTGCGGGAGATGGCGCGGCGATGCATAAAACGTACTTCATTTAAATGCCAACTGACTCTTAGGACTCATCCTTAAGCTGCGCAGATGCCGAGACTCTTACTTCATGTAACCGAAGTTTCCAATTACCTGATCTAGTCCTGGCCGCGAATCACTTGAGCAGCAATTGATCTTACTGTAAAGTGGGAATTTTGGTTTCGTGAAGCCTCGGTAATCTGCACTGTAAACCTCAGCTGGCCTTGTGGGCTTGAAATCAGTCTCTTTTAAACGGAGTTATTAGTGTGTATATGGTTTGAGTTAAATTGTTTCGTTTGTGTTCTCTCCTTTTTACCCACCTTTCTCTGTGCATATTGTTTAGGTCTGAATTCTGAAAGCACTAGGATTATAACAGACCGTCTCAGTTAGCAGTTTCGTCGAGAGGACCGAACTAATTTTTACCATGAAAGTACCCTTGTAACTACAACTAGAATAGTAGGTGGGATCTGAAATTCTCTACGAGTACTGTAAATTATTATTTTTCGCGTGATTCTTAATCATTTTGCCTACCGTTGTTCTCCACTATTCTTTATTTTTTTTTTTTTGAAATTTTAGAGAATACAGCAATCAGTGTTATTTTTGTAGGTGCAAATAAATCGTCCTCCAGGATGCGGTTAAGAAAATTTGTCAAAAATGCGGGGGCTTGTCCAGTGGTGGGCTTGGTTCTGATGTACACGAGAAGTAGTCAACAGAACAGATTTTAAAATATTGTCTAATCAAACAAAAATTGCATTGAGCGCTTAAAAAATGTCTAAAAAACACCCGGAAAAGCATAATACAGGGTAATCCAGGATTAAACGGCCAGACTGCAGGAGCGTGTTCTATGGGTCAAAATAAGACTTTTTTGTCGTATAAAGTTTTTTTCCAAAAGTGCCCCGGGTCGAAGCTACGCCCCTCTCAAAATTTCGGAAAGGAAATTGTTTTTCCTGTATTTTGGCAACGGTTGTGGATCAAATCTCATGAAAAGTTGTACTCCCATGTACTTTTATGCCCTGAATTCATACATGATGTAAAAAATCGAAATCCCAATTCAAAGCGGGGGTTTGGGGATTTTCGACTCCTGCAGTCTCGCCGTTTAACCGTGGATCACCCTGTATAGGCAGTTTATATCTCGCATTTTCAAAAGTGCGTCCCCCGGCATTTTTCCATCAGTAGCAATCAGGTGTGCAGAGAGGATGATGTGAAGAACCGGATTAATACACGAAATACGTTGTTCTCAAAACGAACCCGAAGTATTAGTTCCTTATTGCAAGAGGTAGTCCAGTCGATCGATTTGTAGCTGATTGACCCGCTGTAATTAATCGGGAAAAACATCATCATTTCAGTGCTGGGGCACGGAGCGTGATGAGGCGATGGACTTGATCTCGTGGTCGGAAGCATCACGGAAACGGAAGTCGAGGAGGAGCTTTTTCGGACTTCTGGTATGGCCGCTGGCAACCATCGCGAGTTCATAGCCACGTGTATTTCGTGAGTGCAGCAATGAAAACTAAGGAAAATAACTCGTGAAAGTGACGGTTTGCACTTCATTAAGACGTTGACGCTTGACGCTCGCAGCAGTGCCCGCATGTTAACTTTGCCAGAGCGCTGTTGACAAACAGAATGAAAAACCCACATAGAGCATTCACGAACGCCGTTTGGGTAGCTTCTCCTCGTAAAAATTCTTCCTCCTTCTTTTCAGAGATAGTTTTTCTAGAAACCCTGAAGCAACAATCAAGGAAAAAAAAAGAACCGCAATGTAAACTGTGGGCCGAGTGGCACCCCTTACCTTTACGATGAGCTCAGATTGACCTATCCGCCTACGGGCTGATTGTTGAAATTGATTGACAAAGCTATAGACAAAGAAGACGAAAGGAATATGGAGGGATCCTATTGGTGGAAGCAAGTAGTAATGGACAAAGGAGGTAGGTAATAGACTAACTAACGGCAGCTCACGAGCAGACCCTTTATTTAGTTCATCATTATCTCCCTAGTCTATAAGAACTACCCAAACTAATTAAAAAGATCGCTCCGTACTCATTATGTCCTCTTTGTCTATCGCTTTGTCTATCAATTTCAACAATCAGCCCGCTAGTGTCCAATTGCTGGAGACCTTGGAAAATAACACGGGGTTTATTTTTAATCGAAAATACTTCAACAACAAGGAAAAATTTATTCGTTGAAGATTTCAAAAAATCAATTTTCTAGATTATTCTGAAGAGATTATTGGGTAGTACAAATTTATTTTTTTCTCAGTCACACCAAACTGCTCGACCTGGAATGTTTTTTTCAACTTGAAAAACACCTTTTCTTCAAGTTAATTTCTCGGTCGAGCTGTTCGATGCGTTTGAGCAAACAGTCAAGTATCACCCGTCAATCTTTTCAAAAATATCTGGAGAATTGATTTTCCAAATCTTTGACGTATAAATTGTTCCTTGTTTTCGAGATATTTTCGATGGGAAATGAATGCGATGTTTCCACAAGAGCCCCAGCAAGAGGGGCACACGACTCATAAAGATAGGAAGCGTCCCTTAACCCTCAATTTATATTCCGGCTTTTGTTTTATCTTTAGTAACAATCGGGGGAATATAATTGGGTGAGGAAAATGTTAAGTTCGCAGGTCAACGCCATGTTTCGCCTGGTGATGATTGATGAGCAACTTGGTGTGCATGAAATTTGCCGAATGATTACTGATGCATACCGCACTGAGCCCTTTGCAGGCGAGTTTTTGCAACTTGGGTTAGGTTTGCAAAACCAATTACTCACCTCTTCGGTCATCTGTCATCAGCCATCATAGGTGCATCTGAAAATACACCTCCTAGAGTAACTTTAACGCACGGTAAGAAGATGGCTGCGCCGGGCGTTTCAAATATATTGTCTTTGTCTCTTACTTCTCAAAGTCCATGTCTGTTTATAGAACGATACGATAGTCGAGCGACCGATTGATGATTTTTGGATTATAGGACACTTTAAAAAAAATCCATGGTTGTCACATCACGCTGTAGTCTACAGGTATCTACATATACACAAGCTTTAAGTACATTTGAAGACAAAACGATTTGCGATATTCAGCCGTGCTAAGGAGGAGCGTCATATAAGCCACCAGGCGTTATCAAATTTCATTCGACAAATTACGAATATTCAGGAAAATGTGTGTATATTTCTCCTCTGATTTTCAGAGAATTTTATTCATAATTTAACCCTTAAAGTCTATTGATTGCATGAAAAAATATTCATAACTTTCTTCAAAAAATATATTTTCTGAGAGAAATTTTCGCAAAAATTGAATGCTTGTATGCGGCATTTTACTTAGCACGGTAGCATTCTCTCGGAACGTTTTGAAGTTATTT